GGGGGGGGAGAGGGGGCCTGCGCGCGCGCTGTGTTGCTTGGCGTCACCGGACACTGAGACGTTAAGCCCATTCATGTGTTGCCACACATGTAAAAGCGATGTCGAGCGTCCCCGACTCTGTACTGGTTAGAAAAGGTCTGCCATCAGGCATACGACACCCCTTTCGCCTCTCGGTTTGAATGGGTCGTTGTAGATTGGCAGCATAGCAGCATAGCAGCCTATTCCCGTTGACGGACGATGTGGCAGGCGGTAATGACAGGATGGTCGCTGAACGCACCACCCGAGGCAGAGTCATCAGTTCAAAAGCTTTGCTCTTAGCCACACCCCACCGATAACCCTGCAGTTCATGTCGTCGAAAGCCGGGAGAGACCCATGGTTGTCACCGGGTTGCGCCGATCTGTAGAAGTGACGAGCGTGCGCAGTAGCTGGAAGGAAACGCAAGAAACTCCCTAGTGCTACTTGCCCTTTCCTTTCTGCTCTGTTGAAGGACATGCCGGTTTCCTGGAGGAGAAAGCAAACAGAGCCAGACTTCTCCTACCGGGGCTGCGAACAGAACTTGCTTTCTTTGCCCAACTCTCAATGGCAGACAGGGCGGCATGCAGTGGGCAGTCATCAGTCAGCCCCTCTCTGGCCAAAGGTGACTCAATCGTTTAGTGGGTGGGCTGCCTGCGGCTATCAGCTCACCATTGGATGGTTGTAGCAGTCCACAGCCAAGTCTTCGACGGGAGGTCGCAGAAGGTGATGTGTCCATTTGTTGGCAAGACAATGCCCAGTGTTGCAACGGACGGTTCAGCAACAACTGCCATCTCACCATCTGCCACACACTCCGAGTCGCCATGAAAGCACAGCAAAGCTCGTTCCTCACAACGGTCAGCACAGAGCGAGTGTTTACAACACTACGCAAATGCCAGTGAAAGCCGTGTTCTCACATGCATCGATATTGAGACGCCTGTTCCATGCCTGCAACCCACATATCATATGCCACCGACCACGACTACCCATCTGACTCCAATGTTTACGTAACGCCATTCTTGCTTCACCCGTCCCCAATCTTGTTGGCGCCCCAGTAACTGAAGCCCTCATGTCTTCTCGTCATGCATGCCGGATCAGAGTTTAAGCTTACCCCATTCGTCAGTCGAGTTCCATGCTCCGAATCCGAGGACCCTTCTGCGCAACCGCGGAGCTCGCTATGCCCGCTGCCCACTGCACCGTTGCCCGCTGCCCCTTATCATACGCCAGTTTGAGAGCGCTCGCGTGCTCAATTTGATCCCGGTTTCGTGTGCAGGATATCTGCCTCCGCGTTGTGTGCTATCTCTGGCGTGGGTGCTGGAATTTTGGTTCCGTCCTGTATGCTGTTTTTTGTTTTGCTTCCGGCTTGTATGCTTGCAGGCGTGGGGCAAGCTTTCCCCAGATTCAAGGTTTCCCACGGCCGTCTCGCCCAGATAAGGCGATCAGATCAGGCGCGGGCCAATGTCTCTCCTCAGCCATAACAACAGCTTGGGGTCTGGAGGTCTGGAAACAGTGCCCGAAAGTAGTTGTGGTAAGGCGATGGCCGAAGAGCAGAAAAGATCGTCGCCGTGAAACTCGACCCTCTCGTAAACAGTGAACCACCGCGAATGGTCTCAGGCGGGCAAAGAGATCAGCCAGACCAGAGTCTGCCGTCATCCTGCTGTCATCCTGCTGTCATCCTGCTGGCTCGGTCGTGCGTCAGATGTCTTTCACGATGACCCCGAGTTTGGACCTGCCAGAAAAGATTTTCATGGCCCTCAACTTTCAACGAGGGAGGCGCACGTTCCTCTGCACGCAGATGAGCATGTGGGGCAGCATGCTTGTTTATGCTCAACGGACGACGTGTGAATGCAACGTTTGAGCTGAATGGTGAATACAAGCCGCGCCGCATTCAGTCGAGTATCGCGGCCTTGTATCGGTAATCGCCGCGGAGGCGTCGGAATCGGCAAACAAACCCCAACACGCCCAACCATAATCCTCACCTCCATCAGCCCGCTGCTACCCCCTCAAAGACGCAAAGGTCTGTCGAAATTTCGCCATACGAAACATTCCCTCCCTTCAGATGAATTCAAGACATGAGCAGACTGTACCTTGCATACCATCACCGCTGTCATGATCCGTGTGCTGATTGCACGAGCACAGACGAGGCGACTCACCATGAATTTGCACGGGAGGTCCAAAGCGCAAGAAAACCCTAGCGATATCATTTACATCGGCCAGGTGATGCCAGGTGAAGTTGGGCTAAGGCATCCGGGGTCATGACGTTCATCGCCGAACTGCGATGCATGCGCTGCACACCGCAGCGGTGAGCAATAAGTCCCCCGCCCACGAACCACGCGACAAAGGCATTCGACGAATATAGAAGTTTACGCGAAAACTGTAATTTGGGGTGCTGTCCAAGTCTACGTTCCTGAAGACTTTGATGCGGTGGGATATACAGTTTTTTCCACCCAGAGGGAACGAGCCCAGGTCGATCGCGTCTGGGACCTAGTAGGGCCAGACCCTGCGACGGCCCTGCGACGGCCCTGCGATGGCCCTGGGCCCACTGCGTCCACCGCCGGCAGCCGGTGCACGCAGCGCACATTCGGGACAGCGTGTTCTCTCACCGTGTCGTGTCTTCGCCCATAAGTCGCAGCGCGCAGCGCGGCGCCGCGTGTCGTCGTCTCCATGGGCTCAGAAGAGCCATGGGTCCAGGAAAAAAAGAAAGACAGCAAAAACCCTTACATTCCGAGAGAGAATGAGACGCTGATCCTTTGGGCGTTCTGCATGGCGTTGAGGCGCAATATTCCGGGTGTATTTTTCCAAGGCCCAGAGCGCGAGAGAAACACGGGACGCGCAGATGACGTTAAGGCAAGGTTTGTGGGCCCTCTCTGTTGTGGCCGTTGTTGGTAGCTTTTTGCTCCGAAGCCTTGCGCCTTGCGAGCCTTGCTTCTCCTGCCCCGGATGTCTGCTGCGAGCGTGCATCCTGGGCATCCTGGGCCCACCTTTTACCCGGTCTGAGACCGCGACTGTGCCGTGCCGTCCGCATGTGCCGGATGCAACGACGTTTAATGACTTGATGGATGTGGATTCTTGTTCTCCCCCATTCATCTCCACTCTCCATTCATCTCTTTCTTTACCCAAACAACACGTCCAAACGCTCTGGTAGCGACCGCGCTGTGCGCCCTTCACCTGTTTACCGACCTACCGACCTACCGACCAACAACGAACGCGACGACTCCAACGTTCGCCCACAAGAATCACACGAAAAGCCTAGCTCGAAGCTTCAGGCCATAAGCAACCAACTACTAGCACACCCCTTACGCCAACTGAACCACGTTTGACCCAAAACCATGGGCTTCCTCTCCTTCACGCGCAAGCGCAAGACGAGCGAGCATCCCGGCCAATCGCCGCCGAAGCGCTCCTTCTCCTCGTTCTCGCTGCGCCCCCGCTCCTTCTTCGACAGCAACGAGCCGCCTACCAAGCTCGAGCCGGCCGTCCCGCGCCCTCGTCAGAGGGCTACCGCTCGGGACACGCGTGAGCGCGCTGCACTCCTGCACGACCTGAATGCGAACTACTTCTCCCAGTCCCTCCCCTCTGGAACCAGGGGCAACAGGGGCGCGACGTTCCACCCCGGCGCCTCTGGCGGGGGGATGGACTGGCGCCTCGGCGCCACCGCCGCCGAGGCCACCGGCGCAGAGGCGGAGGAAGCGAGCCGGGGCGAGTTTGCAGCCTTCATGGCGCGCAACGGGCTGGACTCGGACGAGGACAGCGAGGAGGAACTGCTCCCTCCTCCCACTCGTCGTGCGCCCAGGGCCGACGGCCGGCCGATCGGACTCGGCGAGTTCGGTCGCCACTCCATGTTTGACGCGCCTTGCGCGCCCGTCGAGCCCCTCAGCAAGGTGCCCACCAACGCTAGCCTTGTGCTGCCGCCCGGCGCCATGCACCCGACCCCGCCCCGGATCGACTTTGCCGCGGAGGTGTTCCGCCCCATTGACTGGGGGTTTAAGAAGAGGAATGCTGCTATGGTGAGTTACTACATTTGACGTCTGGTCTGTTCTTTCTTCTGTTCTGTCTATCTATCTTCTTTCCTGCTTTTCTTCCTGGTTGCTGGTCGGTGGTGATGGTCGGTTCTGCCTCGTTGTCTTTGGATATCCGACGTGCACATGACCTTTTGTGTGCATTCGTTGTGATCGCGGTGTGATCGCCGCTAGCTCTGCCTAGGTTCTGCTGGCTCTGGCATATGCGGTGCAGTTAGCAGCATGGGTGATCGGCGGTGGGGCGAATGGATGGACCGCGGGTGACGAGTGCAGCGGCATGTGGGACGAGACTGGAGTGTGCATGTGGGATGCGCATGTGGGTCTGGTGGTTCTCTCGTACGTCGTCTCTGCGCCGTCGGACTTGCAGAGGAACGGGTGCGCTCGCAAGTCTCTTCTACGCACTTGTGGATGGTGTCATTGCTGTTACACTACTGTGGGGGAGAGAGAGCAGCGAAAGGCTTGTTAAGCGCCTTTGGGTGTCCAGTTCCCTGGTGGTTGTGAATTAGGGGGCGTTGGTATTACCCTGTCGCGTCAATTAGACCCTGGGCTAATCGCCTGTAATGACCGAGGGGGGCCTCTGAAGTTGCCCCGCGGATTTAGCCGCCACCCATTTGCTATGGTGGATGCCGTTACAGTGTACAATGCGTCGCTGCGACGTCGCTTCTCTTAGCTTTCACCTGCTACGCCGGGACGTCTCTCTGCGGCTGGCAACTTGCAGCATACCATTCCCCATTGCGCCACCGCTGTCTGCACACACCGCGTTCCCATCCCTCCTCACCACTCTCCACTCCATCATCATCATCCTTATTCTTGTCTCTCTCATCGCATCATCAAAATAGTACACTCCACCGCTCCACCGGCAACTTAATCAAAACGGACCCTGGCATCTTCACTCGGCATACTCTCCCTCCACCACACACACACACACACACACACACACACACACCTACGCATACTCTCAACCCTCAGAGAAGAGACAAGATCTGTCACGCACCACCACTCCCTCCTTGTTCACTCTTCACAAGACCAGACGTCACTCTTCACCATCTCTCTTCCCTCATCTTGCCACTTTTACTCACACCCCCGCCAGCCCTCGACCGACAACCTCGCAGGCATGATCAGGCAAAACGTGCCCCCGCCCATCGTGCCCCCCCGCTCTCACCTGCGCACAATGAGCGCCCATCCCATGTCCCCCTCGAGCTCGGCCTCGTCTTCCTCGGCCCACTCCAACTCGAACGGCGCCATTCAGCAGCAGCGCCAGTATGTGCTCGAGGTCGCGCCGCCCATGCCGCAGCGCCCGTCCGCAGCCGACGAAGAGATCGAAGTTATCAGCTTTGGTTCGGCCGCGCCCAAGCGCAAGACTGAGCGTGCCGGCTCCTTCCCTTCCCAGTCTCGCGACCCGTTCAAGGTCCGTGACGGACTGCAGCCGCGCAAGGCGAGCAGCGGGGTCTACACGCCCAACACGTTCCCCGGCGCTCGCTCCGAGACGAGCAGCCTCACGCGCTCGCCTTCCAACGTCTCGACGGCTAGCAGCCAGCTCTCTCCTCCGCCCATGTGCAACAGCAACCGCGCCTCGCGCCTTTCTGGTCTGAAGCGCATCAGCGTCGGCTTTGGCCACCACCACGGCCACGGCCACGGTCAGCAGCGCAACAGCGTCATCAGCTCGCCGACTGTCGTCTCTGTCCCCTCGTCGCTCGGCGACCGCGCTCTCACGCCCGTTGCGCGCCAGGCCTCGTCCTCGTCTGGCCACACGGACCGCACGTCTTCCTCTTTCGCGGCTTCTTCAGCCACGGACAGCACTGGGCGTCGCTACGGGCACTCGCCCACGAGCAGCACGCACTCTGCGTCCTCGATCAGTCCCCCCGCGACGCCCACGACGCCTACCGAGTCCAAGGCTGGCATTGTCGACCCGAACAACTCGTCTCCCGACCTGGACAAGGCGAGCAGCTCGTCGTCGCCGACCGGGCCGAAGCGTACCCGCCGCAAGCCCGTGCCGCAGATGGACGTGGACCTCATCACGCGCCTTGAGCGGCTCGAGATGGAGTCCAAGTGATCAAGTGTCCTATCTGCCTGGCGCAGAGTTGTAGCGTGTCCCCCCTAACGAGTAGACGTTGTTCCCCATCCTCATCTGTTGTACATGTCCTTAACCCCCCTAACTCCCTCTATCCTCTATAGTACGCAGATGTATCCTCTCTCTGCCTGTAGACCTGGCGATGCTGCGAGAAGGTCCTTTGTTGGAGCTGGCTGATGAGAAGACCGAGCAGAGGGCACTTGCACGATACACGAGATGCGAGGGAGGACGCGTGGGTCGAGGAGTGTTGCGACGCTGGTAATCTGGGCGCTGGCTTGGCCGTGGTATGACGTTGAAAGGTACGCAGTACTTGGACAATCCGGGCCTTGGGTCTTGGATCGTGGGAGAAGGTGGAGGACCCGCAGCATCCGCAGTAGTGTGGAGGACATAAGAGTTATTAGCCTGAAGTGCTAATCATTTGTTATAATCGCTTTCTAATCCACCACTCTAATAACGTCCTACACATCACGTGACAGCTTGCGCGTCGGCAGGGCGAGTGTCAATGAGCGCATCGTCAACTGGACCTGGACTCGTTAATCAGCACACTGTACATCACCGCACCATGACGACGGAGAAGAAGGACCCCAAACTCGACCCGAGGGACAAGAAGGACGGCGAGAAGACCGCCGACGAGGACAAGAAGGACGAGGTCGTCGAGGAGAAGCCCGAGCCGCTGAGCGTCGAGGATGGTAAGCTCGCTGACTGTTGATCTGTAGCTGACATTGGCAGAGATCCTCAACAACCTCCAGCTCATCGGAAGAGCTGTGTCGACGATTGAGCCGCGGTTTACGACTCGTGTCCTGCGCACACTGACGACGCTGCGGAAGCGACTCACGAAGCGCCAGCTCGCCGACGCCATCACCCGCGCCTTCCCCAAGGGATCCAAGGTCGGACAGCAGCTCATTGCCTCGGACCTCTTCCAGGGTCTGCCTGATACTGCTCCGGAGGCTGAGGCGGAGTCGATGGACGTCGACGAGACCCCGAAGGATGGCAAGAAGGACGACTCGAAGGACGCCAAGGACGGCAAGGACTCGAAGGAGGGCAAGAAGGACGCCGTCGCGAAGAAGTACCAGCCGCCCGTGGACCAGACCGGCGAGCTCATCCCCGAGGGCGTCATGTACCTCCGTCTTCTGATCATTCTGGCCGGTATCGACGCGGGCCTGATCGAGAACGCGGGCGCGTTTGCGCTCGAGACGACGGAGCAGATCCAGGCTGCGAACCGGAGGACGATGGACCAGATCGCGGCCAAGGTCTACTTCTATCTTGCGCGGTGTTACGAGCTCGAGGGCCGGCTGGCCGAGCTGCGTCCGACGCTGCTTGCTGTTCGCCAAACCGCCAAGCTGCGCAAGGACGAGAACCTCGAGATTACCGTCATCAACCTCCTGCTCCGCTCCTACCTCGCCTCCAATCTCTACGACCAGGCCGACAAGCTCCTGTCCAAGATTGAGATGCCGACGAGCAGCAACACGGCGCAGACGGCCCGCTGGCTCTTCTACACTGCGCGTCTCCGCGCCGTCCAGCTCAACTATGCCGGAGCCGCCGACCTGCTGCTGACGGCCATCCGCCGCGCGCCCAAGGACGAGGTTGCGCCTGGATTCGTGCAGATTCTGCACAAGTTCTACATCGTCACCGAGATGCTGACGGGCCGTATCCCGGACCGGGCCATGTTCCGCCGTCCCGTGCTGCAGGCCGCGCTCGCGCCATACTTCCAGATCGTGCAGGCCGTCCGCGTGGGCGACGTCGCCGCGTTCCAGCGCGCCTTCACGACGCACGAGCAGGCCTTCCTCGCCGACAGCACGCACTTCCTCATCCTCCGCCTGCGCCACTTTGTCATCCGCACCGCGCTCCGCACCATCACGCTCGCCTACAGCCGTATCTCGCTGCGCGATGTGTGCCTCAAGCTCGGCCTCGACAGCGAGGAGGACACCGAGTACATCGTGGCCAAGGCGATCAAGGACCGCGTCATTGACGCAACGATCGACCACAAGGGCGGATACATGCAGAGCAAGAGCAAGAAGAACATTTACGAGACGTCCGAGCCCCAGGAGGAGATCAAGCAGCGCGTCAAGTACGTGCTCGACATGCACCGCGAGGCGCTCCAGGGCATGCGCTTCAGCGGCAATGTGCACCGGAAGGAGCTCGAGACGGCTGCCGACGCGCGGGAGCGCGATCGCGAGATTGCCCAGCTGATCCAGGAGACGGAGGATGATCTGGATGACATGTAGGCTGGCCGCGAGCGTAGCGACGTAGCGACGTAGCGAGCAGAGCGAGCAGAGCAGCGTGAGAGGAGAGCAGAGGAGGGGAGGTCAGTAGATGACGGGCGTGTAGATAACTAGTAGACGTAGAATGCAGTCTGTGAAATATCCGGCGCCCGCTGCAGCCGACCTCGAGCCATCTCCCACCTATATCGTCGTCTGCACCTCCCTTGACTCCCATCAAAGGCGTGTCAGCACTACACGTGACCAGGTCTGGAGACTTACGTCACTTTCCCGTCTTCCAATACAAAGCTATCCTAAATATCTGCATCCCTCCAATCCTAATAGAATGCTAATCGGGAATAGCGCCACGTCGGATTTCCACGTCACTTGGACCCCGGAGCCACGGGCGAGCGGAGATCGCCAGCGTCGCGGTGAGACGCCAGCTCATTGCTGAAGAAGTCAGCGGGAAGTGCAACTGAACTCAGCAACATCAACAAACACCATGAGGCTCTCATTCATCTCGGGAGCTGTGCTCGCCCTCGCCGGGCTTGTGTCTGCTTCCAATGTTGTCGAGCTCGACAGCAAGAACTTTGACTCGGTGAGTCGTCTTCTGTTGGTGTGGCCTCCACATGGGCGATATGACCTAAGATCGACAGCCCGCGCAGCCCGGCTGGTCTGAAGAGAAGCTGGTGGTTGTCACCACGGGGCCGGTGCTTAACCGCTCTGCATGCTCTGCGGCGGCTCTGCAGCGGCTCTGCTTGTTGCCCGCGGAGGCTCGACTTTGCAATTGGCTTCCCCTCGTGTGCTGCCGCAGCTTGCTTTCGCTCGTGCTGCTCGCTGCACTCCGTACCGCACTGGCTGCGCTGGCCGCTACGGCACTCGCTTCGCTCGTCCCGCGCTAACTTCCAGGTCGTCGGTCAGGAGAAGGGCGCCTTCGTCGAGTTCTACGCCCCGTGGTGCGGAATGTGCAAGAAGCTCGCGCCCGTGTACGAGCAGCTCGCCGATGTCTTCCCGTCGTCCAAGGTGATCATCGCCAAGACCGACGCCGACGGACCGGCCAAGGACCTCGGCAACCGTTACGGCATTCGCGGCTACCCGACTCTGAAGTGGTTCCCCGCCGGCTCCCTCGAGGGCGAGGACTACTCTGGCGGGCGTGACCTCGAGTCCCTCGTCAAGTTTGTCACGCAAAAGTCGGGCGTCAAGTCGACCCTCAAGCCGCCTCCTCCCGGGGCCGCGGTCGAGCTGACGGCGGAGAACTTTGACGACGTCGTCAACGGCGCGCGCAACGTGCTCGTCGCATTCACGGCGCCCTGGTGCGGACACTGCAAGAACATGAAGCCTGCGTACGAGGCCGTGGCCCGCGCGTTCAAGGATGAGGAGGACGTGGTCGTCGCGCTCATGAACGCGGACGACGACGCGAACCGGCCCATCGCGCAGCGCTTCGAGGTCAAATCCTTCCCCACCATCAAGTTCTTCCCCAAGGACTGGACCTTCCCCATGGCGTACTCGTCTGGCCGCTCCGCGGAGCAGTTTGCCAACTTCCTCAACGAGCACTGCGGCACGCAGCGTTCCGCCACTGGCCTCCTCAACGACGTCGCCGGCACGGTCGGCGAGCTCAACGACCTCGCCGCGGCTTACATCGCCTCCATCCCCTCGCGCGAGGAGGCGTACGAGAAGGCCAAGGCTTATGTCTCCAACCTGACGTCTTCGGCTTCGGATGCCGCGTCCGGCGTCTCGGACGAGGCGAGCAAGAGGGCCCGCGTCGCGGCCGAGTACTACGTCCGCGCCATGGAGCGCATCAAGTCCAAGGGCGACGCGTGGCTCGATAAGGAGAAGAACCGCCTCGCCGGTCTCTTGAGCTCTCAGAGCATGGCCGGCAAGAAGCTCGACGAGCTCAAGGTCAAGATCAACATTCTCAATGCGTTTGTCGCTAAGAAGATTGACGAGATCACCGCCGACGATGAGGACGGAGACGTCGTCGAGGTCGACGAGCAGGTCGTGCTGAAGGACGAGCTCTAAGCGAGCAACGAGCTCGGAGCGAGTTGCGAGCCGCGAGCCTGATAGAAAGAAGAAAAAAGATGCATCTGAATCATATGCGCCTCTCTTGTTGTTACATCGTCGAGTCTGCGGATCTAATCTCTGGCGCGGGACCACGCCACGCCTCATCCACAATCTGCCTCAGTGTCCGCCGCCCGGCCGTCTCGGATCCACAGACCGCGCACCCCGTGGCTCGGAAGCTGATCCTGCCTTTGGGCACGTCTATTCCCTCCAACCTTTTGCTCCTCTTCTCCCTCCGGTCCTTCTCGAACGCATCCCGAGCCCTTCCCGCCGCATCCTCAGCAGCATGCAGTTCCGTCAACACATCTGAGGCCGGCATCATGTTGCCTGATGGACCGCCGTCGCTCGCCCTCAGCATGCGCGGCCTTGAGGGCCCTACTCGCCATGCCGACGGCGACGGCGGCCGCGTGGCGCTCCTCCCGCAACCGGCTCAGCTCGAGCCTGGCCGTCTTGGCGTCTGTAGCGTCCAGCGCGGCCGTGGCCGTCTTCAATGCCCCGTGAGCCGCAGAAAGCGCGCTCTCGGCCTCCTCGACACTGCCTGCGTCTGGCGGTTCGTCGAGCGACTTGCGCAGCCGCGCCGCACGTCGAGTGAGCGCCGAGGCGTACGCCTGTGCCCGCTCGAGCGTCGCGAGGAGTTGCGGGTCCGAGTCGGACGGAGAGAAGGCCCACGAGCCGACGTCGGTCGCCCAGACGTCCACTTCGTTCCACCCGTCTTCGAATTCGAGGAGGGACTGTTCTGCCGATAGCAGGGCCGTGCACGCCGTGCGCAGCGAGAGCGCTATGGTTCGCCGGGGCGAGGGCGAGGTCGCGTACACCCAGGACTGGATGTCGTCGCGCGCATACGGCGTCGAGGCGGGGTAGAGCAGCGTGACGCGTGCCGTCGCTTCTTCATCCCCCTCCTCCCCGCCGGTTTCTGTCACTCTCGTTTCCTGCGTCGGAGTCGCAGTTAGGTACGAGTGTAGTTCCGGAGCAGACAGGGTTGGGTTCGGAGACGAACTGCCTTTGCTCGCTTTGCTCGCTTTGCTCGTTCTGCTTGCCCCCGCGCCGCTCGCGCCGCTCGCGCCGCTCGCTCCGCTCGCTCCGCCCGCCCACTCGGACGCGGGAACCAGCCAAAAGCCCCCGCGACGCTGGAACACGCCCTCGACCCTCGGCGCCGGCGCGACGTACCCGCCGCTGACCTCGCCCGGGGGCGAGTGTCGGCCAAGATGCACCGTGACGCTGCGCGGCGCATAGTCCTTCCTCATGAGACACCCGAGGACCCACTCGGTGCGTCCCGTCGTGCTCGCCGCCTCGCTTCCGGGCATGGCGACGCAGACGTCCTCCGCCCGCGCCAGCGTCGTCAGGAAGGCGGACACGTCGTCGGGCCCGCTCGCCTCGTGCAGTTTCGGACAGCGCGCGACCGCACGCGCCGAGATGGAGAAGTGTGAGACGTTGGGGAATAAAATACTGGGATGGGCGTGGGCGCAGACGGAGCGCACGAGGTGGGACTGCGGCCACTGCGCGAGCACCAGGTGCGTCGTGAAGGCGAACCCGGGGTTGAGGCGGGAGCCGGGCGAGCGGGGCGAACAAGGGCGGCAGAGCTCGTCGTCCGTCTCGGCCCCCGTCGGCGCGAGGTCGACAGGCAACGCGAAGCGTTGCGAGTATACCTCGTCAGCCTCGAGGCGGGCGAGGTGTGCGCCGACATTGGACGCGAGCGCGTCGTGCCATCTCGGACATCGGGGGTCGTACGCCTCCTCGTCCTCTGCGTCCGCTGTGCTCGCTCCGGGCGGACATGGACATCGGGGCAGGCCCAGGACGCGCCTCGCTCCGCCCGCCCCACTCGGACGCGGGAACCAGCCAAAAGCCCCCGCGAGCTGGAACACGCCCTCGACCCTCGGCGCCGGCGCGACGTACCCGCCGCTGACCTCGCCCGGGGGCGAGTGTCGGCCAAGATGCACCGTGACGCTGCGCGGCGCATAGTCCTTCCTCATGAGACACCCGAGGACCCACTCGGTGCGTCCCGTCGTGCTCGCCGCCTCGCTTCCGGGCATGGCGACGCAGACGTCCTCCGCCCGCGCCAGCGTCGTCAGGAAGGCGGACACGTCGTCGGGCCCGTTCGGACAGCGCGCGACCGCACGCGCCGAGATGGAGAAGTGTGAGACGTTGGGGAATAAAATACTGGGATGGGCGTGGGCGCAGACGGAGCGCACGAGGTGGGACTGCGGCCACTGCGCGAGCACCAGGTGCGTCGTGAAGGCGAACCCGGGGTTGAGGCGGGAGCCGGGCGAGCGGGGCGAACAAGGGCGGCAGAGCTCGTCGTCCGTCTCGGCCCCCGTCGGCGCGAGGTCGACAGGCAACGCGAAGCGTTGCGAGTATACCTCGTCAGCCTCGAGGCGGGCGAGGTGTGCGCCGACATTGGACGCGAGCGCGTCGTGCCATCTCGGACATCGGGGGTCGTACGCCTCCTCGTCCTCTGCGTCCGCTGTGCTCGCTCCGGGCGGACATGGACATCGGGGCAGGCCCAGGACGCGCTCGGCATTCGCGCGCGTCAGCACGAGGCGCCGATACAGCACCGGCAGCACCAATGCGTGCATCGGCCCACTCGTTGCGGCCAACGAGGCGAGCGTCCCCCGCGCCTGCTGGGCGGATAGCTCGTCAACGACGAACTGGACAAGTTCGAGGGGCAGACGGCCCCGCGGCGTCCATCCTGTCGTTTCGCTTGCTGTCGCTGTCGCTGTCGCCGTCGCCGTCGTTGTCGCCGCGCCGCTCCGTGCGGCGCTCGATTCCATCCGTCGTTTGTCGTAGTTATTCTTCTGAGGGTGGATCGTTGTTTTCTTATCACACGCGAGATGTCGACGCGATCACAACACCGACTCACAAACCCGGAGTCACCGGGACCGTGCATGACGTCGGCTTCGGCCGATAACACACTGTGCACTTGAGTCAACCTCGCGTGGCTCGGCTTATCAGGACTAGGCCCGCTACCAACCTGGTAGAGAGGAGAAGGCGCGCAGGGAGGCGAGGCAGCCGAGTCTTGGCAACGGAGGCGCGCGGTTAGGCCTGCAAGGCCGTTTCATGGGGCAACTCTAACCTGGACCCTGAACCCCGCATTGCAAGGTATAAAAGAGGGGCTGTCTGACCTCGAAGTTTTGACCTTTTCCCTTTCTTGAAATGTCATCACCTCCATTCGTATCTTTGCTTCCGCTTTTTCGCCACCCTTAAGAGCCAGCCATTTGAGTCGACCCTAAGAGAACCTTCTGGTAAACGACTTTTTGGTTCCGCCTTTCCAGCTTTTGGCCAATCAGGTTAGCCCATTTTTTGGTTCCGCTCCTTTTAAAGTCTCCTGGTCACATGACTTTTGGGTGTGACATCTTGTGTCCACCATCCTTGTCATCTGACATCTCTGGCCTGTCATCCATTGGTGTCATCATTGATTTGATTCCGCTATCACGTGACCATATTGGCTGACACACCTACAGCCTCCACCTGCCTCCACTTCGACCCCCCTGCAAGCCACCTGCATCACAGTCATCACGTGACAACGTCTGAAACACAACGCCAAGTTTCAGATTCACGAATCGCAGCAGTCGAAAGTCAATCAAGCCTCATTCGTTAGTTCCAGTGACCTGATTTGCTTCCGTTGTCACCCCTTCATGGCAGCTGCTGTCAGCACCATGCCACGTGACCTGTCAGCGGGGTCCAAGCCTCCACCACCCACTTCCACTTCGACCTCGACCTCGACCTCGACCTCGACTCGCGCTCCACCTCCCACCACAACATCGAGCACCAAATCCTCCAAGACGCCAGATTTCCTGAAGCCGACGAGCATAAGCAACGGCATCAAGCGCATACAGCGCATCGAGGAGAAGCACGCGCTGCACCCGAACAGCGTGACGCGCGAGCCGCCCTCGAGCAACTACCAGCCCCGCGATGTGATAGCACCGTACTACGAGCCCGTGTACACGGGTACCGGTCCTGCGCCTGTGCCTGTGCAGGCTCCCGAGACAAAGCGCCGTCGTCTGTCGATGAATCAGAAGCACGCCCTCCCGCCGAGACCGAACGTGAACACGCCCCCGACACCCTCGATCGGTTCCCACGCCGAGCGCCAGAGTCGATGGCACCACAACGGGCCGAAGGCGACGGGCGCGAACGCCATCGCTAGCACCATGCCGTTATTCCAAGACGCCCTCGCTAGAGCTCGCAAGAGTCCTAAGGGGAACACATCGCCGCCCGGCCAGTCCTGGCAGCTCTCGCAACAGCACCCATTCGGCTTCCAGCCGCCGCCGCAGCAACAGCAGCTGCCCGGCTGGCAGACGTTCCAGCAGCACCAGCAGCAGCAGCAGCAGCAGTACGGATACCAGCCGTACGCGCAGGGGCAGTTTGCTTACGCTCAGCCTCAGCAGCAGCATGGTTTCACGCCGCCGCAGTCGTATGGCCAGCTTCCCCCGTATCAGCAGCAGCAGTACGGTGCGCACCAGCAGCACGGTGCTCAGTCGTCCTATTCGCGCGGGAACCAGTCACCATATCAGCGAGGCAACCAGTCGCCATACGGACAACACCGCGGTGGTCACTCCCCTTTCCAGCAGGGCGGTCGCTCGCCAGCCGTTAGGGAGGACAACCGCTCCCCTCTTCCTCTCGGCCAGCGCGCAACGGCCTCGGGCGGGAGCACGCCGCGTCCCGCTTCTGGAGGACGCACCCCGCCCCCGCCGCTCAAGCCGTTATCATCTCGTGCCCCTCCGCCGCCGCGTGAGCATGCCGATGAGGCTGAGCCTCCGTCATCGGGTGCGCCACTGACGCCTCCCCACTCTCCCACACCGCCCCCGCCGTATCGCTCTCCTCCACCGCCTCCTGCGAAGTCTGCTACTCCCAAACCTTCACCGTCTGCCGGCATGAGGGCGCTCGACCGCGCTCTGGACGGATTGAGAAGACAGCAGTCTCAGAGGGCCGCGCCCGTCGTGAGCCCTTACCAGTCTTCAGCCCCGGTCCCTGCTCGCCCTGCGCCCGCGCCTGAGCCTGAGCCTCGCGTGTTCGCCGCTCCAGTTGCTGCCGTCGCCGCTGTTGCTCCCTCTGACGACGAGCGTGTCGCCAGGGCGTTGAAGGACGCTGCCGAGTTGCTGGGGCACAAGGCGCCGGGCGTCCCCGGCCTCGACCTCGATCGCGACGTCATAGCAAAGGCAGCGAGAGACTTTGCCGACGCTTTGGAGGGCAAAGGGGGCAAGAGCTCCGATCAACTGCCCACGCCCCTGCCTGCGACCGCGACCGATGTACCCGAGGCTGGTACTTTGCGCCCGAACAAGAGGGCGCGTACCGAGTCTCCCGAGATTGAGTACGTCGGGTCCGCCCGTTCCGCTCCTTCCGCCCCCGCTGCAGCCAAGCCCGCCCAGGAGCCGCTGTTCTTCGAGGCACCCTTCGTCAAACTCGAAGACGAGGACTTCAGCTCCCTCCCCAACGTTCCGACTCAGGACGACTTATGGGGCAGTGAGCCTGAGGATGACCCCGAGCCGATCTTTGAAGAGGAGGAGGACGAGCTGGACAGCGACTCTGATGAAGACGTCAAGCCGTACATCGACCCGCGCCGCCAGAATCCCGACATGGACGTGAGCGATTCGGAGGACGATGACTCGGAGGAGGAGGACATCGACGACGAGCCGATCGACGTCGATGCGCCGGCGACAACAAAGACTGCGCGCGCGAAAAAGAGGGCCAAGCGAGCCAAGCTCCTCTCGGAGGCCATCTGCGCCGGCCAGTGCTTCCGGTGCCCCAGCCAACCTCTCGTCGCGGACATGTACAACCATCTCTGCCTCGATCACCGATTCGACACGCTGTCGCCGCAGGACTTCAAGTGCGACAAGATCAAACTGTGCGAGTGCGGCCGGCCCGCGATCAAGTCCACATACACCAAGAACCACCTCAAATTCTGCTCTCTGCCCCTTGAGCGCCGAGTCGCACTCGGCATGGCCCCGCCCAAGGAGAAGAAGGTGCCCACGAGCAAGGCGGGCACGTGTCACCTCTGCAACAAGAGTCTGAAGGATCTCCTGGGCCACTTCAAGCGCAAACACGCCAACATCAACGTCACCGACGACGATTTCGACTGTCCCGGCCTTAAGGCGTGTTGCGGCAAGGTCTGGACCAAGGGCGGACGACACAAGTGTCCCGACAGTTCCGACTTTACGCGCCCGTCCGCTGCGAGTGCCACGCCCAGTCCTGTGCGTGCAACGAACTCTAATGCTGCCCACGCGACCTCTGTAGCTACCGCTGTCGGACGCCCGCAACAGGAAGCGGCGCAAGCGACGCCAGGCCAAGGCCAGACGACCGCCGAGACCAGACGGACCGCCGAGTCTCTCAACACTGCACCGCTGAGCCGTTTTGGCAAGATCCCGAAACACAGCGACAAAGACAGCGACAGAGACGGCCGTAACAGACGTCTCTCAGGCGAGGACGGCCGTCCCGGAGAACTGCCTGACCGTCTCCGGTTCCTGAACAATATGTAACCTGTCCAGTTTCTTGCCCACCAGCGTTAGTTAGGGCGCGCGGGCGTTGTACGATTAGTTGTCTATATTTGACCCACGTAATGACCACATGCACACCAGTGACACCAATGACATGTCATGATGCTTCATTAAGCGAGGCAAAGGAATGTCAGTCTGCTCAACAGAGTCCGAAGCGCGTCGGAGGACGACGGCGTTACCGCGTCCGTAAGAGACGGACTCCACGGAGCAAGATTGTCGTAGCGAGTCAGGCACGAGGTGTGCACATGCGCATTCCGCACGAGCGAGGCGGAGATCTCCGCCTCCCTGTTGATCTCTCTCCACTGTCTGGGCTGGTTTTACCGAACACCGTGATTCCGGGACCTGTCGGGCCTCGTGTTCCTGGGGGTGGAGAGAGTGGAGAAGTCGCCGAGGTGGAGAGAGATAGCATGTAGCAGCGTGGGTCAGCCCGAGTTCCCAATATATACCAAGCCGGAGGCGTTAACTGTCACCTCCTTCGCACTACACCTTAGACAAAAGAGTCCAACATGGCGCCCACGACACAAGGCAAGCTGCAGCCTTCCATGGCCGAGGTCGACCGCATGCTCGTCGAGGCTGGCCCCGGCACACACTTCGAGCTCGACCACGAGATGATCCAGGGGCGCAAGCAGCTCGTGTGGAAGAACGTGAGTCACTGCCGTCAGCGCCCAGCTGACCTCAGCAACCGCGCGACTTCCGGAGCTTCATCCTGCAGCGTCTCAAGATGTTCGGCGACCGCCCACTCCTCTCGTCTCCGACGCCAGACGGCGAAGCTAGGGAACAGCTTTCGTACCGCGAAGTCCGGCTTCGTAGCCAGATCCTGGCCGGATGGCTGTGGGACCAGGGCGTTCGTGTAGGCACCCGAGTCGCGCTCGGCGGACTCAACAGCGCGGCGTGGGTTGTCGCCTTCTGCGCCGTGCACATCGCTGGCGCAGTTCCTGTGCTTTTGAACTCGACGCTGCCTGCTCCGCTGCAGAAACACTGTCTCCTTCTGACCGAGCCCAAGATCACGCTGGTCGACGGCAAGCTCGCCGCCCTCATCCAGCCTATTCTGCCTGAGCTCCGGGCAAGGTGTATCGACCCTTACTGCTGGGACCACGGGATGGAGTGTGGGCTCCATCGCCTTGAGCCTAGCGCGAGCGCCGAGGCCGTACGCGCCCTCGACTCGGGCCGTGCGACGCAGAGCCTGCACCCCGAGAGCGACGGCATGATCATGTTCACCTCGGGCACGACGAACCACCCCAAGGCTGTTCTGGTCACCCAACGCAGTGCACTCAGCCACGTCCCGACCGCCGCTTTCCCCGTTGCGCGAGCAATCCTCCGCGCTGGTGGATCTCTCGAGGACGCGCTCGCCGCTCACGACCCGCCAAAGGAGCCCTCTGTCATGCTCGTCCCCGTCCCCCTTTTCCACGTCACGGGCTGCCTTTCCTGGCTCCTGAAAGCCATGACGTACGGCCACAAGGTCGTGTTCACGCGTCGCTGGAACGTGCCCGACGCCATCAAGCTGATCGTCGACGAGCGCGTCGACGTCATTGGCGGCGTGCCCGCAATCGCGACGAGTATCATCCAGTCGGGACTCCTGCCGGCCAACTGGCAGTTCAAGAGTGTCGGGTACGGCGGCGCGCCCCCGCCTGCTGGGTTGCCGGAGGAGATTGTGCGCCGCTGGCCCAACGCCAAGATTGCGAACGGGTACGGCATGACGGAGACGAATGGCATCATCACCTCGCTGGTCGGAGCCGACTATGTGCGCGACAACACCTCCTGCGGACCGCCCGTGCCCATCTGCGAGATCCGCATCGTCGACCCAGAGGACACGAGCAAGGAGATGCCGACGGGCACGCCTGGTGTTCTCATGGCTCGTGGGTCAATGTTGATGGAGGGCTACCTGCGGAACGAGGAGGCGACGCGCGCTGCCGTGAGCCCAGACGGATGGTTCAACACCGGCGACGTGGGGTACGTCGATGCCGAGGGTTTCGTGACCATCAGCGACCGCGCCAAGGACATCATCATCCGTGGCGGCGAGAACATTGCGAGCGGGGAGGTCGAGAACGCCATCACGGCCGACAGCCGCATCGAGCATGCCGCCGCGGTCCCGGTCCCGGACAAGACGCTCGGAGAACTCGTCGCGGTCGCGGTCACGCTTGCGCCTGGAGCGAGCGCTACACCGGAAAGTATCATCGAGACGGCGTCCCCGCGCCTCAGACATGCTGCTCGCCCCGTGTTCGTGATGGTGTTCGAGGAGGACTTCCCGCGCGCCGCGTCGGGCAAGGTGCTCAAGAAGGACATCAAGGAGATTGTCGCGAGGGAGTTTGCAAAGCTAAACCGCGCCAAGCTCTAGTCGACTCAGTAGTGTAGAAAGCAACAAGTAGAAGTAGCGCAGATACGCACACATGCATGCGATTATAGATTGTCATCCCTTTTTTGCATAACTAGATATAAGGGCGGCAACGGCTTTACTCATCACACTTCCTCTTTCCCGTCTTCTTGTCATTCTCGTGCCCCCTTCCGTTCCCCTCACCGTTGCCGCCACGGTGGCCGTGGTCGTCCCCATGGTCGTCGTTGGGGCCGTCCCTGTGGTCGTCCCGGTCATCATCGTCGTCGTCGTTCTTCTTCGAGCCATCCGAGCTTGGGGTCCGCAACAGGCCACCGCCCTGCCAACCCTACTGGCTGTAAAGCTGGAAGTCGAACTTGACCTGGCCACCCCAGAAGCCAGCGGGGCAAGACTCGGTCTGGCCACCACCAATAGCGAAGACGTTGTTGCCGTTGTACGCACTCCAGCCCGAGCCGGGGTTACCGTTCTTGACAAACGACGCAACGCGGCCCTGCACGTCCTGGCTGAATGCGTCTGAGCCTGTGGGACCCGTGCCCCACCACGCGTAGACGTCGTCCATGTGGCAGACGTGGTTGTCGCAGTACGTCAGGCCCTGGTTGTTGGCGTGGTTGCCGCCCTGCGTGAACTCGCCGACGTAGGTCGAGGCAAAGGTCGCGAACTTGGACGCGAGAGCGCGCGAGGGGCACCGGAATCCGCCGTCCGTGAAGGCGCGCTCGATCGTGCGTCATTCCCGGGCCGATCTCGACACCCGCGGGGAGCGGGTACTGCGCCGCAACGGCGTCGGCGCGCGATCCGACCTGGAAGCGGAGGACGTTCAGGTACGCCTCGGCGGGGGTGTAGTCGCGTCGCCTGAGGTTGGTGCCGAGCGGGCCACCGCCAGGGATGGGCGTCATGACATCCGCGCCGGCCCCGCCGTCGTTAAGGACGGTGGTAACGAGCACCTGCTGGGGCTTGACGGCGAGCTGCGCGGGATTGTTCATGAGCACGTTCGAGGGGTCCTGGGGCAGAGTCGGGGTGCCGAAGACGGGGCGCACGAAGGCCGCATAAGGCACGCCCTCGATGTTGGGTGCCATGTTGACGAGGTCATTGGCGGTGGCGGTCATGAGCTGGGCGGCCGACTTGTTCTGCGCGCAGCGCTTGTCGTGACAGTGGAGAATGTCCTCGTAGAAGAGCTTCTGGAGGGCGCTCGTCTGCGCCGCACTCTGCGTGCCCACGTTCATGGGGCCGGACTGGAGGATGATGCGCTGGAACAGACCCGCCGCCTCAGGCACACCGAGCATGGACTGCGCGATAAGCGCACCGGACGACTGGCCGCCGAGCGTGACCGCCGAGGGGTTTCCGCCGGCACCGACGATGTTGTCCTTGATGGAACGGAGGGCGAGGAGCATGTCGCGCAAGGCAAAGTTGGGGTCCGAGACACGCATCCACGACGGAGGGAGGAAACCGAGCACGCCGATACGGGTCTGGGCGTGCACGACGACGAGGCCCTGGGACGCCATTGAGGCACCGTCGATGCCGTCGTCGGCAGCGCTGCCGTCGATGTTGCTGCCGCCGGGGACGTAGACGTAGACGGGCAGGTTGGAGTTCTGTGACGCAGACGAGGGAGCCCAGATGGTCAGGTACAGGCAGTCCTCGGACTGGGTGTTGGTCGCGGCGGGGAACGCGTGAGCCTGAGGGCAGCGGGGGGCCCAGCCGGCGGCGTTGTTGGGCCTGTCCGTCAGCGAGCGTCCAACGGCAAGATCAAGGGACTTACGTGGAGCTAGCAGCCGACGAGTGGGCCCAACGAGAGGCAGAGCCGTACTTGACAGTGTAGCGACAGGCGTTGCCGTCGGTGGCACCGGTGAGCGTCCTGCCCTTCCAGTTCATTGTACAGGCGGCGCGCTCGGTGAGCGGGGCCGGAGCTGCCACCGCGCTCAAGGCGAGGAGGGGGAGGAGGCCGAAAAGCGAGAGCATTGTAAGCTGTCTCGAGGTCTTCGGAGGATGGAGATCAGCAATGCAGCGCGGTAGGACCTCCTTATATATATCTCGCAGAGGTGCTGTTTACGCTGGGAGGGAGATGATGGAGGTATGCATCCGGTTTGTGGTCCGGCATGGGCGGGCAGGTGAGCCAAGGCGACTGCTGGACAATGAACGCGCGCATGTTGCGGGTTCTGGGTCAGTCTGGGGTCAGTAGCCCGTCGGGCGGGAGAGCAGAGGGTGCCGTGTGCCTCAGCTGATGGGCGTTGCTGGTCGGCTTGGTTGCTTGCTCGACTTCCAAAGTCGCGTCTCTCAACGCAGAAACGTCATCCGTACTCCAATCCTTCGGGAGATCGCCAGGGCTATCTTATCGCCTTCGAAACGTTCTCCCATCTAATCAAACGGCCCAGAACTGCGTTCTCTACGCTCGAAATAGTCCAGAAAACGACCTCTGCACATTTGATTGGAATGAGGTCCTCCATGTTGATCGTCGGGAGTCGAAAAACATGAACAATGGCGGAGGGGTGGTGACGCTCGGGCCATGCATGTCTCACCGAGAACTCGACGTAGCAACCCTCAAACGTCCCGGAGGCCGGTTTCATCGGTCCCAGTGCTATTGTTTGGCGAAGGCAGGTACAGTGTTTCAACGACGGATGACAACGGGGTAGGACGTCTGTGGGCTGGCACTGGTCCGTTTGTCAACCCAAATACACACCTCCCGTTCCACCGGCTCGGACCAGCTGTGTACTGTTGTTCACTGTTGTGAGCGTCAGTTCGACCCGTTTGTGGAAGTCTGGTGTGAGGCCACCACATCTCCCCATCTGTCAGCCTTCGGCCCCACGATCCTGTGAACCCCTGTGCGCTTTGTTGCCCATCGTGGGCCGCTTTGTTATCCTTCTTCATACCTCGTCTACGACGTTGTCTTCTCCTAGCTTCCCTCTCCGCTTCGCTCTCCGCTCCCTACACATCTCGTTGCGAGGCTTGTCCGTGGCGTGGGAAGCGCCTCCGGTGACTGAAGTTTACTCCGGTCGCCTGCCCCAGACAACGAGAGTCGGCACCGGCCCCCTCTCGAGCCGGAATGCGGGCACACCCTCGCCGTCCATGTCGCCGACGCCGGTAAAGCCGTACTTGGTCAGCAGGCCGCCGAGCTGCGCCTTGGTGGGCGTGGTTCGGAACTGGTTGCCGGTGATAACCTGTAAGCGTCAGTGAGCTGGCCTTCCCACTCCGCGCGCTCCACCCTTCCAACGTTCTTCCCCTATCTTTCTCATTCACCCTCCTCTCATTTCAGAGGCGGGACAAAGCACACTCACCCCCTGATCCCAGTCCTCGACGGGCTCATTCTTCGGCTCCTCCTTGACGTGGAACACGGCGCTGATGTCCTCCCCGTCGTCGCCATGCCTGAACTCGATCAGGATGAAGAGACCACCAGGCTTGAGCACGCTCAGGACGCCCTCGAAGAAGGCTTGAGGGTTCCAACATGGTGCGCGACGAGGGTCGCGACGGCGACATCGAACCGCTTGCGCGGCGGGGCGAGCTTGCGTTCCGGGTCGCTCTCGATGGGGGAGGGCATCTCCTCTCCGCGGTCGAATTGAGCAGCGGAGGTCGGTCCGAACTCGTGCATCGCCCAGGTCACGTTGTCGAGGCCCTCGACCTGCTTAGACAGAACGCTAATCATGGATCGCGAGGGCTCGATCGAGTGAACAGAGTGGAAGCCCGTCAGATGGCGCGTGACGGTGCCGACACCAGCACCGACCTCGAGCACATCGAGGGTGGGGAACTTGGACTCGGGGATGCCGGCCTCGACAAGGGCACGCTTGATCGTGCGTCCGTTGATCTCGGCGGCTTCCTTGACTCCGGGCTTGTTGAGATAGACTGCGCCGTCCCAAACGTCGTCGCCTGCCATGGTGTCTGTTGTCGGAGTTGGCCGAAGGTGTGGGTTTGAAAGAGAGGTGATTGGTCTCGCGGTTGGGGGCGAGATCGCGGTATACGAGAGACGGGGTGAGACGCCGAGTGCTTGAGCGATGTGGTCGATGCAAGAGCTGGAGGTGTTGAGGGTGTCGACGTTGAAGCACGCGCACAGAGCAGAGTCCGAGAGTGGGCAAGTCCCGAGACCTGAGGATGGGTCCGGATTCGGAATGACGCGTGAGTCCGGGTCCGGTGTCCTCTTGTCGCGCTGATCTCGGCTCAGGTCAGAAAGTAACCGAAAGACCGAGCGAGCTGGCTTCGTTCTCGCCTACTCGTGTTGATCTTCACAGTGACTTTGCCGTCGCACAGACCTTGCCATTACTCACCCTATCACTTCTGACTAGGATACTGCAACACCGGAGCATCGAAGCTCGCACGCTCGCTTCACGACTAGCTCCGCTCCAGCACTCTACGGCAGTCGGCTCGCTCAGTCGCCATGCCGCTACCCAAGTGTCCGCCAGGCTTCACGGATCACATCTTCAAGCGCGTCCACGGCCTCCCCCTGCCACTGCGCTACTGGCCCCCGCGCGCCTCTTCCACCTCGACCTCTCCCTCCCCCGACGTTCCCAGTCGTGTCACCAACGGTACCGCTCAACCCAACGGCGCTAGTCCCGCTCGCGACACTCCGTGGCTCCTCTGGGTCCACGGCGGCGGCTACACGTGCGGCAAATGGGCGCACCCGACCCCCTGGCTCCTCCCCGCCTTCAGCGAGTACGGCCTAGTCTCGGTAGGCTACAGACTGCAGCCCGAGGCCTCACTCGCCGAGATGGCCCAAGATGTCGTGGACGCGTACCACTACGCCCGCACGAGTATGGGCTTGGGCGACCGGTGTGTCATTGGCGGCGCGAGTGCGGGAACGACGGTTGCGGCGCTGGCTGCGCTGGAACTGATCAGGCGTGAGAGGAAGGCGACTGGAGAAGGGGTGGGAGCGCCGAGAGCGTTCCTCAGCGTTTACGGCTTGCTTGACAGCCTGGCATACCTGGAGCAGGAGAGGAATCAGGGCCCCCAGCCTGAACCCAGCTACCTCGTCTCGACAGATGAGCAGTTGGCCGAGATATACGCAGACCCCGACCCGGCACAGGCAAGCGTGCAGAATCCCTGGGACACAGAGCTGCCGCCTCACGTACCCCTGCAAGAGATTCGGGACCACCTCGGCCTGCCCGGCTACGAACCCTCCGACACGGAACTGAGGCGAGTGGACGTGTACTCGTACGCTGCGTGTCATGGCAATCTCTTCGAGTCCGTCTGTCGGATGAAGGACTACCACTCCGACTCCGAGTTCAAGGACCGCGTGCGCGCTGACTCGCCACAACATATCCTCCAGAAGGAGGGAGAGTTCATGCCCACGTTCCTCATGCACGGTCTCGCTGACGATATCGTCCCCGCTTCCCATTCTGAGAACTTTGCCCGGACGCTGAGGAGCAAAGGTGTGCCCACGGAAGAGGTTTACGTCGAGGGGGCTGGACATGTGTACGACTTTGGATTCGAGAAGGCCGGCGATGCGGGATGGGACGTCAGCGTTGTCCCTGCGCTCCGGTTCTTGGATAGGCATGTGTAAGAGGGCAAGGAATAACGACAAGAATATGCATTCACTACAAGATTTTGTGGGGTATATGATGGCATTCTGATGGCTTCTGGCGCTGCTTCGGCTTCGCGCTGACGCGTTCGCTGGGATTCAGCTTCGAGGGTCGCCACCGCCTAAGCAGGACTGGCCTCGCGCTCACTCCGCTTCCACCTCCGCTTGGACTTCGACGTAGACGTCTCCTAGACGTTCTTCTTGTCGCCCTGCGACGGGGGCCAGTTGGTGGGGTCGACCTCGCGGTGAATCAAGGGGTAGATGTCCTTCGAGAAGACCTTGTAGCCCGTGGATCCCTGGAAGATGTCGCTCATGGTAGGGGTGATGTGGAACCCATGCGGCTCCTCGACGTACACGACGTCGACGCCCGCTTCGCTCATGTTCTTGTACAGGGTGCGGATCTCGTCGACGAGAATCTCCTTCTCACCGCCGTGGATGTAGACCTTGACGCCGGGCTTGACCAGGTTCGACCACTGCGCACCCGTCGCGTTAGCGGGCGCAAAGTACGGCGTTGTCGCCGCCTCGTCCGTGTAGTGCTGGCGCGCGGCGTGGGCCGAGAGCTTCGCAAGCCAGGTGATGTAGTCCACGCCCCAGTTGTTCACCATGGACGCGCGCGTGATGTTCGTGGGCGACATGTCGACCCAGGGTCCGGAGAGGGCCAGCTGACCAGGTCCCTCGACACCAGAGTCGTACAGGTATCGCTGCAGGAGGAGCGACAGGTTGGCACCGGCCGACTCGCCCATGACGGTGATGTTCTTGGGCTCAAAGCCGAGCGCGTTGGTAAGGTACTCCCATCCAGCGACGGCGTCGAGGAGAGGCGCGGGGAAGGCGGTCTCGGGGGTGAGCGTCTTGCGGTAGTTGACGGCGAGCACGCGGATGTTGATGTCGTGAGCGACCTTGAAGACGTAGGTGCGCTCGAGGGGGTGGCCGAAGGCGTATCCACCTCCGACAAAGTAGAGCATGGCCTTCTCTCCAGGGGCGGCCTTGGCGAGGGCCTGCTTCGACTTCGGGGTCGGGGGACAGCCGGGACAGCAGGGCACACCGCGAAGCCAGTGCGCGGCAGCTTGGCAGGCGGCAGCGTGACCTTGGTCACAGTGACGCCGGGGGCATCGCTCGACTTGGAACGCACGGCGCGCCACTCGAACCAGTCGACACCGGGGAGGAAGAGCGTGTGCTGGATGAGCGCGACGCGAACAATGTTGGTGATGAGGTGGTCGCGCAGCGTCTGCCAGCGCAAGCGCGGGCCGCGCAGGAAGTGCGTCAGGATCGTGTACGGGATCACGAAGGGGAGCGAGCCCAGCACGCCGAGCGCCGCGAGGAGCTTGTACAGCGCCAGAAGCGGGGCGGGGGGCGTGCGCGGAGCTGTCGGGTCGGGGGACGAGCGCCGGAGCTTGGGCCAGTCGAGGGCGGTGGACATGATGCTTGTAAGAGGGGCGGATGAGACGGTTCGAATGCAGAGATAACGGGTATATGTATGCTGAATGAATGCATGAAGCTCGGGTAGGATGTCGAACCGGAAGACGCGCTAACAAGGTTAGACCGGCGGTCAGTAGGTTAGTGTTCGCGGGGATTTCACGCCGCGCACTGCCCGCGTTGGGCCGTTCCACGCAGGACCTTACCCATTTTACACGGGAGTGACGCGAGTGCGGTCGATGCAGGCTAAAAAATCATAATCCTTACATCTGGCGTGGGACAAGAAAAAAGAGAAACGAGCTAAGGCGGGAACAAGGGGCGATGGCGATATGGCGAGATCGTGGAGGCGTCTAGGCCAGAAGAGCAAGCGCGCCAACGGCAACGAGAGCAGCCGAGAGCGAGGCACCAGCCGAGCCAGCGCTGGACTTGCCCTCGGCGGCGGCGGCGCCGGAGGCGGAAGCGGAAGCAGAGGCGCTGGCGGAGGAGGCGAAGGGGTTCGCAGAGGTCGAGGTGACGGCGGGCTTGGTCGCGTTGGTGGTGGGGGCGAGGGAGGTGGACGACTATCGTTAGCGAAGCCAGAAAGAGGCAACTCACAGACTTGGGGAGCGAGGTCGGGGCGGGGATCTCGCCGGCGTACTGCGAAGTGTAGTGGGACTCGATGCACTCCTGGCCCATCTGCTGAACAGCGAGTGAGAGGAGCTGGACCTGCTCCGAGGTCATGCCGTTCGGCACGCCCTCGATCGAGGTGCAGTTCATGCAGATGTTGAACTGCTCGAAGACGCCGCCCTGGCACGCGGTCGCGCGCGCGTCCGCCGACGCGTCGGGGCTGAAAACGCTCTTGTACGTCTCGCAAGGGGTCGAGCACACATCGGGGATGGCATCGACAGGGAACGGCGCACGGGTAAGGAGAGTGGGGGTCGCGGCGGCAACTGGACGTTAGCAATGGAGCATAGCGCCGCGGAGCAGCAGTAACAGCCAGGCACTCACCAGCCGAGAGGACGCTGAAGAGGGTAGCGGCGAGCATGGTGGAGATTGTGCAGATGAGTGAGCAATGTTTGGTTCGTCTTCGAAACTCTACGCCGTGCGCTGTGCTGTGCATGTGTTGCTCGCTGCCTTCCCTTTCCTCGCTACGGCCCCTCGCTTTGCAGCGAGCGGCTGTAGAGCAGGACTCGACGCTCAAACGCACAAAAGAAAAGTTCGTGACAGGGACTCGGCGCACGGGACTGGTCGGAGCGCGACCGCGATTGGCCGCACGCGTCAGGATACGTCGCCGGCGCAGTCGAACATTGACGCCAAGGCTGTTGATGCATTCAGAGAGATGGCGAGGGAGGCTTGCATTGATTTCTAGTGCTTGTTGTTGCAGTGGGTTACACAGAGGCGTTATGCAAACAAACAGCCATCCCAAAGTCTAAGTCACTCGCAGATCGGCTGTCGATCGGACGTGGGTTCTGGACTTCTGATTCTACACGGGCCGAAAATCGGACGGCTCAGACCTTGTAACCTTGGCGGGCGGCGTGCGTCATTTCGGAGACGAGCGGCGGCGCGGCGACGCCCGCACGCTCACGGCGTCAGCATCATGCATGCGTTCGAGTGCCGAGCTCAGTTCCGCATTCGTTTCGACGAGTTCTAAACCCGTCTCATGTTCATTCCACGGACGAAGGAGCGCGCGGCAGATGCGGTGCCTGGCTCTCGGCCGGTTCATTTGGTGGGCAACGTCGTGTTCTCCACGCGCGCTCGGTAATCGGCCTTTACAGTGCCTCCTGGCCGTCATGATCAGAGCATCGCGGCCATCTCCGCCTTGCTCACATGCCAGGTTCCTTGTCCGCTCCATGGCTCGCTTGTCCGGTGGTCGCCGTACTCGCCGGTTCATAAGAACTCCACCTCCTCAGTCATGACCTCCTCCTCCAACTAGACTCAACCATGTCCAAACCCCAAGTCAGCCAGCCAGCGACGAGCACGACGGGCTTCTTCCAGCCCACCCCCGTGGTCCAGAACCAGTGGGAGGAGGATGCCGCCCTCCGCCGCGCTTCCGCTCTCTTCGTCCCTCCCTCCGTCCTCAGCAAGGTCTCGTCGGAACTTTCAAAGCTTGGCGCCGAGGTGCTCACGCCCGAGATCCTCGCCCATGTCACGAATGCAGAGAAGAACCCGCCCTACATCGACGGAGACGGATTCAACTCGTTCGGAGTGCCGAAGGACAGTGCTGCGCTCGTCACATCTCCGGGCTGGAAGGCACTACAGGACTTCGGCCTCGAGAACGGTGTCGTGGCCACGGGATACGCCAAGGATCTGGCTGGGAGCGCGCGTGTCGTCCAGGTTATCAAGATCCACCTCTGGGGCGCATCGAGCGCCATGGTCGTCTGCCCCTCTGGTATGCAGGACGGCGCGACGAGTGTCCTGATCGCCGAACTCTCCAGGCCGCCCCCCTCTTCGCTTCCAAAGGAGATGGTCGACACCCGCACGAAAGTGTTCAAGAAGGCCCTGTCTCATCTCCTCGACACCAACCCCAAGAACGCCTGGACATCAGGCCAGTGGATGACCGAGCGCCGGGGCGGATCCGACGTCAGCGGAACCGAGACCTTCGCCAAGTGGGTCGGGCTCGACGACCGGACCGACGCCGACGGCCTCCCTCTCGGACCCTACAGCATCAGCGGCTTCAAGTGGTTCTCCAGTGCGACGGATTGCGGCTGCGCCCTCGTCCTGGCATGGACCGAGAAGGGCCTTTCGTGCTTCTTCGCCCCGACGCGCGTGCAGGGCGGCGCGATGAACGGCATCAAGATCCAGCGCCTCAAGAACAAGCTCGGCACCAAGGCGCTCCCCACGGCAGAGCTCGAGATCAAGGGCATGCGCGCCTGGCTCGTGGGCGAGGAGGGCCGCGGTGTCTCCGTCATCGCGACGGTGCTCAACGTGACGCGGTTCCACAACGCTGCCCGTGGAGTCGGATTCCTCGGCCGAGGGCTGGGTATCGCCCGCGCCTTCTCTCGCGTACGCACCTTCCCCAAGACGGGGGCAGCACTCAAGACCATCCCCCTGTTCAACAAGACGCTCGCGGCCACGACACTGAGGTATCGCGCCGACACGCTGCTCACGTTCTTCCTCGCTGCGCTCCTCGGCAGCGTCCAGGCGCAGGCACCCAACCCGCTCGTTCCCGAAGGACAGGACGCCGAACTCCTCCTGCGTATCCTTACCTCCGTCGCCAAGGCGTACACGACGAAACACGGCATCCACGGCCTGCAGGAGTGCATGGAGGCGCTCGGCGGAGTGGGATACCTCGAGAACTTTGAGACGCCCGAAATCAACGTCGCGCGTATCTTCCGTGACGCCAATGTCTTCTCCATCTGGGAGGGCACGACCGACGTCCTCGCGACGGATACGGTCAAGTGTCTCACTGGCCGACAGGGAGCGGACGTGACGGCCGCGCTGGACCGATGGATCAACACCACTCTCGGAGGCGTCAAGGGCTTTGACGAGGAGAAGAAGGAGATCAAGAGCCAGTGGGAGCAGTTCAAGAACTTGCCGAAGGAGAAGGAGGAGCTCCTCTCCCTGTCTCGGTACGTGTACCACTCTCTCGGCGACATTGTCTGCGCCGTCTTGCTGCTCGCCGACGCGCAGAGGGACGGCGACGCCGTCGCAGCCGAGTGCGCGCGGAGATTCGTCGCGGGTACGCTCAAGGGCGAGAAGAGGCAAGGCGGCGACTGGAAGGAGGTCAGCAAGTGGGACCATAGGATCGCGTTTGATGGCGAGACGCAGCAGAGCGCCAAGTTGTAAGGGGCGGCGCGGTTGTAAGAAAAGTCAGAGAGAAGTCATATGCATTGATTTTCGTCATCCGCATCAGCGCACAATGGGCGTAACCAGCCGCAACGCAACACACGATCGTCGCACGCTCGCGCCCCACTCCCACGCCCCTAGCAGTCCCACATTCACGTCTCACCCACCTCTCTACTGACATCCTGACATCTCACCGTCTCCTACTCCTCCAATCTTAGCCAGCAAGTTGCGATTTAGTTCATGTTGTGGCAACTAACCTGCAGATGACTCCGCCTGCCGTGCCACCGTCCGCGGCGACGTTCCAACCGGAGTACCCCTTTTCCGCGGTGGGGAGTCGAGCTTCTCGCGTAAGGTGCTGTAATCAGACCTGTGAGCTACAATGATCAATGCTTTCAGTTGACACACCAGCATCAACGGCGAGGTGGAAGACAAGGTCAGCTTATCAAGCTACTTCTGGAAGTCAACGACTCACAAGACGATCGTAACTATAGAAGGCCTGTGGTAAGATCTGTCTTTTAGCATTGAGACTTAATGCCATCGGCAACAGTGAGCTGCACCGGCGTCGTCATAGCTGATACACATTGCTATGGTGAGCTTGGGTGCGTTGCAGTGAGCTGACAGCGTCAGCTTAAATGGTGGCGGTGAGTTACATCGCGCCTGTCTCGAGCTCACAGCCAGACTGCTGTCGCTTCCATTCAGCACAGCTACCATCAGCAGTGGCTCTAGCTTTGAGCTTGTTCTCCTGTGAGTTCTGCAATCCGTCTCGTCGAACTGACACCAGAGCGTTAGTTGCACAATACTGCGGGACTCACGCCTTCCCAGGCAAGTCCAGTGGCGTCCTCATCGAGCGCACGTCGGCCCAATTGCTCTCCTCGCTTGCTCACGCCGCACGAGTGACCCAAGGCTGTGGCTCCGCATTCTGACGTGAAGACTGCCTGCTTTCAGTGATAGTGTGTTGGCCGAGTGCTGTCTTTGACTGACGACGAGGTATCGCGGGGCGGGTGCTCACCACTGCCACTGCACGAGAGCCTGATGGGCTTTCACCGTCGACGTCTTGCGTGAGAGCTGCATGTACTGAGCCACAGCTGACAAGCAGACAAGTGAGCTACCGCGGTCTGGAAGCCTAGCTGAGGAGGCAGAGGCAAAGAACGGTCTCGATCGATGATAGTTGGTTGGTCTTTCGGTCGGTTCTGACCCGCGGATACGCAGTCGTTAGCCGATGGTCACTGCAGCCAGCTGTCGAAACACAGACAAGGGCTTTGATAAGTTCGTCAAGTCTTACGGAAGCCGATGCCAGCGCAAGTTGTGAGCTTCATGTTGAATGTCGAAGCTGACAGTCTACAACCCAAGCCGAGCCTCTGGTGTGCTGCTTTCTCACGGCCAGAGCAGACGAACACAGCACGGGTAAGCTGATCAAGGCTTGGCTTCAGCTTAAGGCAGATCACGGGCAGCGGAACGGAATTAGCACACGAGTGAGTTCCGTGATTGTAGAGGTGAATTGCCTGTAAGTCCCGTATGCTGCGACGTAAGTGGAGTAGCTGATCCCTCAGGCGCGTCTTTCCGTCCTCAAATCTATTTCGTGCTCTGTTCCGGGAAGGTGAAATAAAGATGGCTTCGGAAGAGTAAGTGACACGCAGGGCGCTCCCATATAAGCTTATCGATCAGTGTCAGAGCTGAACTGCAGATCAACTCGCCAACCTCTCGCCCATTCTGCATGTTACACCTGAGTTGCCGCTCAATACTGCGAGACTTGCTCGAGTAGATCTCACACGCTAAGCCGACGTGCGGAAAATAGACATGAGCTGATATGCAAGCTGCATCCAACGATCGGTGGGCAAGCGAGCTTCGATGCCACCATGTGCACGCTCCCTAATAACCAGCCTCACCTCTGGACCCCTCCCTGCAGCCTGGACACAGACCGGTTGTTAAAGCTAACAGGCAGCTGGGGTCACGCAAGGCCATATGCCACTCAGAGATGCGATACCCAGCACCAGCTTTCCTGATCACTTTCTCAAGCTGACTTCAGCGGTCGAAGCGAACGCTCCACCATCGAGGCACCGCCGAAACGAGACCTAGGTCGAAACGAGGAGGGCGATTGTCGGCGAATTTCTCAACCCTGTGCTGCTCCGGCTCCACCCGTTCCTTATGGTTCGTTATCTCCTCGCTTCTGTCACGAGCATGACACGGGCCCAGAAAGGGACGTTCCGGCTGTGGAGCTGTCTTGGATCTAGACCTGGTAAGTGATACGGGATGATGAGGTTCGCGGCTCGGAAGGAGTGGAGTTGGGGGAGTGAGTCACCGACCGAAATGAGATTGCCAGGGTGTGGGCGGTGTCCAATGCAAGACGCCGATCATCTCTCCTCCACCCCTGTCACCTCTCCCAACGATGCACGGTTTCATACTTCTCAAGATAGCTATGCAGCAGTTTTGTGCTCACGTTTAGCCTTATCGTTGCATTCAGTGATGTACAAGTGGCGTGCTGACCGCAGCCATATTATTAAGTGACTGATATTACTGAGTGTTGTTTGTGTTCAAGATGAAAAGAAAGCGACCCCGACTGCTTACGCCTTCTCCGCCTCGCGCTCCTCGCGGTGCATCTGGCTCTCGCGGCGGATGTACTCATCCTCGTGCACGAGGCGGGTACCGGTCTCCTTACCGGCGCCCTCCTCGTAGGCAGCCTTGGCGTGTTCGAAGTGGGATCCGTCGGCTTCGGGGCCGAGGAAGAGGAAGATCATGAGCCAGGCAATGACAGCGCCGATCAGGATACCCTGCACGGTGGCGTAGTCAGGCATCATCTTGCCGGGCTCCTTGGGGTCGGGGATCTGGATGCTCTCGCCAGCGTCGGTCTCGATCTGTGCAGCGCCTGAGGAAGCCATGTTACCCAGCTGGTACGAGAGACCAGCGAAGAGGGCACGGAAGGCGGGAGGCGAGACCTCGGACAGGTAGATGGGCACGATTCCCCAGGCACCCTGGACGCCGAACTGCATCCAGAAGCCGCCGGCGGCGAGTCCCGAGAAGTTGCCGGGGAGAATCCAGAGAGGAATGAACGCGGCAGTAATGCAGAGGAAGATCAGCCCAGTAAGCCGACGTCCCGAGTACTGAGACAGATAGCCCGCGATCGTGCCCCCGCACACAGCGCCGACGTTGGAGATAATGACGGCGCGGTTCGTGACGGCGGGGCTGAGAAGCTTGGTCTCCTTCAGGTAGGTCGGGTAGAGGTCCTGGGAGCCGTGGGAGAGGAAGTTGAAGCCGGTCATGCAGCAGATGGCCCAGATGACGCGGATCCAGTTGGTCTTGAGCATGTCCAAGATGGCGCGGCCGAAGCGACGCGTAGCCTCCTTGGCGGGGAGGGCCTCAGCCTTGGCACGCTCACGGGCCTCAATGTACTGCTTGGACTCGGGGACGACGAGGCGGAGGAGAGCGGCGAGAAGAGAGAAACCGGCACCGAAGAAGTAAACACAGCGCCAGCCATATTTGCTGTGCGGGGTGATGAAGTTGACGGAAGCGGCGAGGAGGTAGCCAACGGCGTAGCCCTGCTGCATCATGCCGGACATGAGACCACGGGCGTGAGGGGGCACGTTCTCCAGCGCGATCGCAGCAGACGTGCCCCAGATACCGCCCATGACAATACCGAAGATGGAGCGGACACCGAGGAAAGCGCTGTAGGTCTGGACGAAACCGGAGCCGAGCTCAAGCGCGGCGATCATGAGGAGGTTCACGAAGAGAGTCCACTTGCGGCCGAAACGGTCGGCGGCAATACCGAAAAGGAAGGCTCCGAGGGAGCGGAAAAGGAGTGTAAGAGTGATGGCAGTGGAGATATCGTGGTTGCTCTTGCCAAAGTAGTGGGCCAGGTCAGTCATCGTGACGGAGACCGCGAAGTAGTCGAAACCATCGCACTGAAGCCGTTAGCTGGGGGTTCTACTGATGTTTACTGCGGCTATGAGGATACTCACGGTCCAGGCGAACCAACCAACGAGGAAGTAAAGCCATCCCTTGGCGGGCACGGAACGGAGAAGCTTGATGGGATTGTGGATGACGATTTCATTCGGAGAGTTCTTCTGCGTCTTCCACCGGAACGACGGGACGATGTTGCGGACAAACGAGCGGTGCTCGCGACCCTTAATCGCGTGCCAGTGGCTCAGCTGCGACTTTACAGAGGTGTGCGCGAGGCCATCGTCCGACTCCTCATAGTGGCGGGGGGTGTCCTTGAAGGACTGCGGCGGTGAGACCATAGTGGTGGGCGTGAGTCTGCTGGGGAAAGAACAAGTCACGCTCTCCCTCCCGACCTTTTATGAGTCATCGACCAGCATCCGGCTTCGGCCTCAAGTGTCGTCGCGTGAGAGCAGAAAAAGATCTCGGGATTCAGCGCTAGCGCTGTTGCCGCAGGATCATGACTGGCCAGGTCGCCAGGCTCGCCTTCAGGCCTCGCCCTGCCCTTGCTCTGCCTAGACGCTCCCGAATCGGCACTGAGCAGCATCCGCAGCAGCGAAGAGGAACAGGGGCCCATCCATTGATTCGAAATCAACGAGAGCCTCGTTAGAGCTGCCCGCCGCGACTGGCCTGAGCGCCCGGGGTCCCTTGGGGGTAGGATGTTGGCAAAGGCGTCCAGCGGGGTCTCGCGGGGCAGCGGGGCAGTCGAGCTGCGCGCGCTGGGCCCGTTGGGGGTTGAGGAGTTGGGGTCTAATGCCATCGAGATGTTAGCTCTGATGTTAGCTCCAACGTCAAGCATGGTCATCCCAAAATAGCCTTGGGTACCGTGCTTGGCCCAATCGCCTGCAGGGCGAGGCGGAGTCTCGTGCGCAGGAGGCTGATACGCAAGGCTGTTCCTGGCGCCTCCTTGCACATCACCAATCACGAGGACAACATAGGCTCATCCGGGAAGTGGGGCAGGGCATGAGTTTCCATTTCAGGCTCTCCAAGCCTGGAGATAAGTTGCCGATGCGCCGACTCGGATTGTTTTCGCAAGAAAAGGGCAGGCGACCTGCAGCATCTCCAGTTCAGACGCTTGGATTCTTGGGCGTCGTGATTGGGAACCTGCGTCCCAAAGGACGCCGTTGCGAGCAGTCGCCCAAGATCCTGGCACGTCATTCCCTCGGTTCAACTGCTGGGATGCCGCGAGATGGCGGCGCTTGCCGTCGATGCCGGCCCACCCCTGGCGTAGAGGCGTTTTCCCTGACACCCACACTGTGCACGGGGGCTGCGGAGGCATGTCGGGGCGCCCAGTACGACCACTGGAAACAATGCAGGCGGGGAGCACGAGGGCCCACGCCCATACACACCCTGCGGCCGCGGTCTCGCTGTGGTCGATATCATTCGTCGTCGCCGTCATGATATCTAGTTCGCCGTCGGCAGTCTCGCCAGTATCGGGGCTTGTGACGGCGCCGTCGGCGCCGGCTCAGTTCCGGTTCTTACCCAGACATAGGCAAGACACGCAGTGGGCTCTGGAATCAAATCGGCAAAGCCGAATTTACGAACACGACAGCCGCGGGGGTGAGAAAGTCGCCGACGACGCGACAGGACCCTTGACGATCATCTGTGCAAACTGAAATCCGGCTCGGGCGAGAATGGACGGGCGAACATGGCAGCAGCGGCGTGCTTCAGTAAACGGCCGTGCCGGCCGTGAGTACCGTGGCGTACGATGTGAACGCTTCCCACTGTCTTCGGCGGCCCCAAAGACTCCCCGCTGGTCTCAGGCAGTTCCAAGCCACCTCCTAGATACCCCTCGCTACCCCTCGCTGTTCCTCACCGTTCCTCGGGCATATGGAGTCTCCCCGGGGCTGCATCTGCACTGACTTGCAAACATTGTCTCTTCATTTCGAATAACGCTGAACGCCAAACGTGCAGTACGCACGATTCAGCCGAGCCGCAGTCGCATCTAAGCGCTATGGGCGCAGATAAGGCTTGCCCTGGGAAGGCTCGTGCTCGTTGTGCGGCTATTCCTGACGTTAGCACAGGCTTGGCATTCCGCTACTGCGCTCCACGAGTCCATACGGGGTCATGCGACTGGTCACGAGCTCGCCCAAACGCAACTAGAGGTGGCCAAACGCACTCAAGTGTAACACTATGTGAGCGATTCAGTTGGTGCCCCAGATCCTGGGGCCGCCATGCCCGTATTCAGGCCCGACGGGCCCGAAACGTTCTCACAAGCAACACTCCATTCCTGCGATGACCTCACCCAGATCACCATTCACACTCTGCGCAGTCACGCAACGACCAGTATTCGGCCCGCGGTCCGAGCACCCGTACCTCTAGTTCTCCCAGCATGCCATTGTTGTCCATCGTTGCTCCGCGTCCCCGCTCCACACGCTTGTAGTCCGAAAGCTCAGCTCCCTTGGACCATCGGGAACGTCGGACGTCTCGAAGGTTTCGTTGACCCTGTGTACCGTCCCATTGTTGGTTCGGCCCCACCCTGCATAACAACGCTCCGCACGTATGAGCTTGCGGGCAATAGCGACCCCACCCACTCTACACCTTGGGTTGCGCCGAGCCGTCTCCTACTCATCCTCCATCGTCAGAGAGGTGATCCTGTCTGGGCACGATCGTCGCTGCGTCTGCTTCACCATGTCATCATTAAGGTACAATGATGCCATTCCATTGACGCTCCAGACTGATGATCGTCCTTCAGCCCCATTCTAGCTTAACCATAGTCATGGCCTCCAGTCATCGTGTATTCTAAGAGTGTGAAGCACCGACGAGTACTTCGGCCCCACTCACAACACACGCCTCGCATCAGCCCTCGCCCCAATCAAATTCTATGTTCGCCCCGCGTTCCAGATATCCATCTCGCAAGGATTGCACTGTCCGTTTTCCAATTCAACCGTCTGCACAGACCCTCGCTGTTGGCCGAAATACAAACCGTAGAATACGCTCTGCCCGAAGAACGAAGCATTGGAACCAAGTGGGGCCATTGGGGCCTCACATGCTTCGGTGCCACCCTGCGGACCGCCGGGATGCTTCGGACGAGGAAGACACGGTCGGCACGCCCGGCACGGACTGTGCGGCGGGCAACTGTTGCTGCTAAGAATAGCTTGCGGTGATTTTGGCCCCTCATTTTGCGCATTGTGCAGTGCTGTCGCACCCCGGTCGCGCGCGGTGTGGGGATGAGGAGCGCGCGTTCATCTGTGCCTGCGGAGGTGTACCATGACCTATGGGTTAGGCCGAGTCTCGGAGAAGCGCGACCGCGAGGACGAGCGGAGGAACGTTTCTGCTCAATGTTCACTTTACAGATGCGAGTGCGGCGAGTTTGCGAGTTTCAGGTGGCATGGACATGAGGAGTCGTGTGGGTGAACCGGTGGCCCGGTCGCCACATGCCACCCGACCCTCGTCCTCCCTGCGCTCGCTACGCTCCTAGCGAGCAACGCCCAACGTAAGATCCGAACGGCGATGGCGCTGCTGGGTGTAGCGAGGCGGAGAAGTCTGCGACCGACGGAATTTCGGAGTGGCCGCCAAGCCACCTTTCGTCTTTTCACTCTTACTGGACCATCTAACTCAGAACTAGATATCTAGAGCTGATGATAGCAGCCTCATATCCCCTGGCCTCGCCGTACGTATCCAGACTTCTCGCCAATCTTGACACGCGTGAGTCCATAACGCCGCCCGCTACCGCTCAGAGACGAGAGCGTCCTCACATCTATGGTGAAATGGTATCATGCATCGTTGCCACGTGCGATTCGATGCGGTGGGGGTTCGATTCCCCCTGGATGTACTCTCTTTTTCTCTCTTCTGCATGCATCGTTGCGTGTTGGAGGCTCGTTTTGTTGGACGAAAGAGACAGGGTCGGGCGGGTGGAAGAGGGTTGGCGGGACGAAACCGAAATCAGGCGCCGGACCCTGATTGCGGGATCAGAATATCGATTTTTGGAGTTTGGAACCAAACAAACACACGGAGTGGAGGTCTCAACTCGTTCAACAGATGTTCAACCTCTTTCGACTTTGCGTTTTGGTGTACCCGGCGCGCGCTGAACGCCCCGGCTAACTCGCTAACTCCCTGCCGACATCGAGACAGCTGACTTTCCACGCACAGTCACTGATGACGAGCACAGAGGCATTCAACACCATCTCGGTCGTGCGGCGAACACAAACCCTGCGCGCACGGGCCGATGGCGTCTCGAGCCCTGTCCTCGCTGAGGGGGCCCGCACTCTGACCCACTCCGGCAACGAGGTCGCCGCATCCCGTATCGTCGCCGGTCTTTGCGAGGAACCCACTGCTCTTTGCTCGTGGTCGTCCGATGGTGACAAGGAGTCGGGAGGAACAAGGAGACGGAGGATACATACAGCTACAACGGTTCGTGGATTATTGAGCGGCTACGTGACGGCGACGGCGGAAAGCATGATTGCGCTACGCAGATAATCAGGCCGCAGCAACGCTCCGCACACCCTTGCCAAAGTCGTACGGGGCAAGGAACCTCCACCGGGGTTGTTTTGACATCTCCCGTCCATTCTCGTTCCTCTTCTGCATAACGTCGTTGGACATCATCCCGTTGCGATCATCACGACTACCAACCCTTGCACTGATTGTACCTGTCCAGCGACACGAGCGAGTCATCGCCACGACCCTGACACTGTCTCCGCTTCCACCCAATCGTCAGGCGTCTCGAGCCCTGTCCTCGCTGAGGGGGCCCGCACTCTGACCCACTCCGGCAACGAGGTCGCCGCATCCCGTATCGTCGCCGGTCTTTGCGAGGAACCCACTGCTCTTTGCTCGTGGTCGTCCGATGGTGACAAGGAGTCGGGAGGAACAAGGAGACGGAGGATACATACAGCTACAACGGTTCGTGGATTATTGAGCGGCTACGTGACGGCGACGGCGGAAAGCATGATTGCGCTACGCAGATAATCAGGCCGCAGCAACGCTCCGCACACCCTTGCCAAAGTCGTACGGGAGCTGCTTGTACTTGCGCTCGGCGCCTTGAACGTTAGCCTGCAGCAGAGGAATTAGTACTCACAGTCGTCGCAGAGGTGCTCGCCGTGGATCTCGCCTGTACGCGTCTCGTCGCCCTTGCCGCAGACGTCGCAGGGAGGGAACTTGAACGGCTCGTAGAGCGTCTTGTGCCAGCCTGTATGTTAGCTGGGCGCTGAGCTCGAGAGGGGCTGGAGGGAGAATGTTGAGGAGCGGAGAGCAGAGCGCGGATTGAGATGGGAGGAGGGAGGACTCACAGTCACGGCAGTTCTGGCCCTCGCCGGCCGTGTTCACCGTGTTCGTCTCGCCGCCGCAGCAGGGGCAGTAGAGGGTGTCGTAGGCGGTCATTGTGTAGTTCGGTGTGGGGGTGCAAGAGTGTAGGTGCAGGGCAGGCAGGTTGAAAGCGCAAGAAGAGGTTGGAGTGTACGAGTGAAGAATGCAGCCCGACTCATATACGCTGCCGGACAATGGCAGACGCGGTTTGCAGACACGGCCATCAATACCCGGCTCCCTGGACATCGAGTCGCACGGTGGCACATGTCGAACGGGCCCCTCATACGCACAGAGCAGGCTTGGCCACATGCCGCATTCTACCAATGTGGCGCTGCCTGTGCCGGCCCGGCCTCTATACGTCATGGGCGGCGTCATGGGACGTTCCAGGCTGCATCTACAAAGGCTGCGACGTCTTGAATCCGATGTTGTGTGGTGCAACTGCCGAAAAGATCGAAAATGTGGTACGAGTTCAGGGAGGGAGGAAGTCAATTGCGAGATCCTGGAAGCCTGCAGGTGAGGAACTGATCGATGCCACCATCTTTTACCCTCGCACCGCTCATGCCTGTGCAGTAATAATGCATAGGGAAGGGAGGGCAGAACCTTGCGGAGACACTCACGTGCGGAGCAGGAGAGAAGGTCGATTGGTCGAAAATCAGTCGCGTCGCCACCACAGGACCCGGAACCAAACACGCCGCTGCGCTCGGAACCACATCACACGTCAACCACCCAATCCTTCCTCCATCTCAACATCGCCCATTGCCCTCACTCTCTTGCATAACTTCATCCACACGACGTTCTTTTGACCCCTCACGACATTCGTTTGCTTTCAGAACGATCTTACAATATTGTCACTTAACCTTGCCACTCCCTGATCAACAAATCAGCTATCCGACTTAACCCCCTGCAGCATTACCTCAGATGAGCGTTAACGATCGTCTTGGCCGTCTTCCAGTCGAGGTATGGCAGATGGCCTTCGAGCACCTCAGTCAAACCGACCTCTTCAATCTTCGCAGCGTCAATTCTGCTCTCGGCGCCATCGCTAGCCCATTTTTGTACCGTTATGGTCTACTCACGAAACTCGGCCTCCACTTTCCCGGCGCACCACACCCCTACCCATTCACGGATCTGCCAGAGCTCGGTCACATTGCACTCCGGAAATCAGACCTCGACCGCATTGTTCACAATCTTCGACGCCTCGAGATTCCGACCCACAAGAGTAAGAGCTGCTCAACTGTATTCAAGGGTGTGTGGCCGGACGGCCTACGACTTAACGCGGACGTTTTGTCCCTCGAGGTCGAGCAGATTCCTGAAGCAGCCCTGCGCCCCAGGGAACGGCCGGTGTTCCCCGAATGCTTCGTGCACACTGAGTATAACGAAAGCTTGGGATCCGCCATGGATGACCACGGTGCTAGCAATTCAGAGGTTGCCGTTGACACAACCTGTCTGCGGGCTTGTTCCTTCCTTGACGAGCCGGACCTCTGGTCTGCCAGGGTGCGCAAGGTTGTTATTCGCGGCGCGCCCCTGAGTTGGAAAAGCCAACAACGACCGCATCAAGTTCCAGGCGGACGTTGGGCAACGGAGTACGTTCTTGTGGTGGACTCTGCTAAGGATTGGATCTCGTGGATTGGTGATGTGGTGTGCATGTGTCCAGAGTACCACCGACTGTTCGGCCCCACTAAAAATCCCATCGCGGGCTTCAGTCCTTTCCCTCACGACAGCACCAGCCTCAAAAGGTTGACCATCATATTCTGGACAGAGCCGCCAGAGTCACCCTGGCTCCCGCCGTGTGGGCACTTCACCAAGGAGGAGCACTGGACCAGCCGGGATGTCTGCAACTCTTATACTGAGATCTGGGACGCCATTGTGGCCACGGTGCGGCGCGTCCCCAGCCTACAGCAGATTTGTCTAGTGAACACAGGTGCAATGTCGGAGCAGCCAAGTGCTGGAGTCAAGCGTCGGGCGCGCAAACCGTACAAGCTGTTCGACAAGACCAAGATTGCAGACGAACTGCAAACCAGGCTGCAGAAAGCCTACCCCAAGAACCGTGGCTTGGAGCAGCCGGAGCTCTCATTTCAAACCGTAAATGAGTGGGCGGAAGCGGAAGATTGGGAGGACGTCTTCAATGTCAAGGAGATCGCGCCCTTTCTGGAGCGTGCCGAATGAAAGCATCGTTGAGAATCAGTAGTTCCTTATTCTTGGTCATGCATTGAGAGAGTTCGTGTTCCGCGGCTACATTTTGGTAAATCAGTCACGCTCCGGCGGAACCAATATCGAAAGTCGCGTCCTTGCGACGCGTCAGATTGCACGGGCAAGGAACCTCCACCGGGGTTGTTTTGACATCTCCCGTCCATTCTCGTTCCTCTTCTGCATAACGTCGTTGGACATCATCCCGTTGCGATCATCACGACTACCAACCCTTGCACTGATTGTACCTGTCCAGCGACACGAGCGAGTCATCGCCACGACCCTGACACTGTCTCCGCTTCCACCCAATCGTCATCTCCTCAGCTGCCCCCTCGCATCGGTCCAGTGTCTTACGACCTTGGACGTCCTCTCCGTTCTTCCTCGCCCACTTTTCGAACAGTATGACGCGGCGACCCATGGCCGGCACCGGCCGGTTACCCGCCGAGATCTGGTTAATGATTGTCGATCACCTTCAGCGCGACGACCTCCTGAATGTCTGCGCTGTCAACTCCGCCCTTCGATCGCCGCGCGTCCGCTTCTCTACCGGTTCGGACTCCGTTTCCCCGGCGCCGAGAGACCATTCCCATTCACGGATCTACCGGAGATGGGTCAACCGCGGATGCCCAAGTCGCAATGGCAAGGAGTTCTCAAAAACCTGCGTCGCATCAATGTCAATGTGCATCGGAAGCGCGAGTGTGACCTCTTCGCGATGCTCTGGCGGAGGAAACAGACCTTCCACCTCGACGTGCTCTGGCTCGAGTTATTCAGGTGCCCGGAGGTTAACGTGAACTTCCACCGCCGTCCAAATTTCCCAGCGGCGTTCGTCCACAATGATGTCCCCGAGGGACTGGGTCCGGGACAAGAGCACCTGCCTCTTGTGGATTCGGGTTGTCTGCGTTTTTGCTCTTACTTGAGCAAAGGGGCGTTGTGGGAGGCAAGGGTTCGCAAAGTTGTCGTTCGCGGCGCACAGGTTATGTGGGATAGGCTGGAGCGAGAGTACCAGGTTCCAGGTGGGCTCGGCCATGAGGAGATGGTACTCGTCGTGGACTCTTCGGGATTATGGTACAGGCCCCCGGACACGACTCTCACCTGCGCGCATCGCCGCTTTGACGACCATTTTGCCCAGCGCGAGTTTAACACGGGTTCAGAAGACGAGCTCAGAAACCGTCTTGGTGAGAGTGTCTGTCGATGGGGTTTCGCACCATTCGATATCACGACGTGTTGTTACACTATCCGCCGCATGACCATCGTATTCTGGAGTGGATCGCCAGACACGCCGTGGACTCCACCATGCGGTCACTTCCACGGCCATCCCATCACGGGCGAAAATGAGGCCTCGAGCACGTGTTCGGCCTACACGCGCATGTGGTTTGACCTGGTCGAGTTTGCTCAACAAACCGCCCTTGAGCGAATGACGATTGTCAACGGAGACGCGCTGGCAATCCCCCCAGGCGCTCCGTCGGATCAGACGCGCATCGACCCCTTATCAGAGTTGCGGCAACGCATCCTCGGACCATTCGAAGGCAGGGCTCCGGTCGAGCCCGAAGTCGCCAATTCCGACTACGACGCCGCGCAGAGCGATTCTGAGGGCGGCGATTTAGAGCCCGCCGAATCCTCTGACGGCGAGTCCGATTACAGCCAGTCGCAGAGCGATGGGGGTTACGGTTCGGACCCAGGCGAGTGGGACGGCTGGACGCTGGGACACAAGGACAACTTGGATAGCGGCCGACCGCCGCAGTTGCTTATTTCGAGCATGGCGGAGTGGATCGAAAGTGGAGAATGGGAGGATGTCTTCTCCAGGAAGGAGATTCAGCCGTACTTGAACGCTGTTCGACAAGAACGAAGTTTTACCTAGACGTCCGGACGCAGGCCCAGCACCGCAGGGATGGACTGAGCCAGAGTGAAAATCATCACCCCCTCGCCGACTGCGGGAGAGCACTGACGCCGGTGCCGATCATATCCTCACGCCGAACGAGATCACTATGCGGCTCAGCGACGACCCGTCTCAGCTGCGAGCGCAACATCGGCCTTATCCGAACGGCGACGATACCGATGAGTATTCATGGCGGGCCTCTTGAGTGGCGAAGCAGCCCAGCTCAGCAGTCACCCAGGGCACGCCGAGACCAGATTGCCGGTAATGTTGGCTGCTGGAGGAGATGCGATGCGTGCAAACGCAAAGCAGGTCGAAATCGACAGCGGAGAATGGCGGGGTTGAACAGGCGCCTTAAGCGCACGAAGTGGAGAGTGCATGCATGTCTTATTGTTGCAACAGCTCACGGTGCTCCGCGATGATTCCGCAACTGATAGCGAAGGGTTATCCCCGTAACGCTTTGACGCCTCCGGGACGCCATCTGGCGAGGAGATCGACACCCTTGCGCTTCATGAGTTGAGTGGATTTGCATCGTTGACATTTAAACATCACCTCTCCTCTATCGATTCGTCAACTTCAACGCACGATGGCGACCGACACCCCACCACACCTGCCCACTGAGCTGTGGCAGATGGTTGTGCCGTATCTCGGTGAGCACGACCTCCGCAGCTTACGGGCGGTGAACCGGCTCTTTGCCTCCATCGTCCGCCCTCTTCTGTACCGCTACTGCAACTTCTCGAGGCTCGGCTACCACTTCCCTGGCGCAGCCCAGCCCTACCCCTTCCTCGAGCTGCCGGAACTTCAGCAAGCACCACTCAGCAAGAAGCAGCGTGCCTCCATCTTCCGTGACATAAGGGTAGTGAAATTCCGGAAACACGACGTGGGCGACTGCACAACCTTCCGCTTTCTGCAGGGGTACCGTGTCTTCCGGCCTGACGAGGAGACATCCCTCGACGTGCTCTGGGTCGAGCTATTCAGCTGCCCCACGCACGCCCAGTCCTCGGGCGAGATGTACTCGACCTTCGTCCACGAGGGCGACGAGGGGCACCGCAACCCAACCCCCGACTATGACGAGGACGGCGCCGACGAGTTCGCGACCTGCCGCCACCGGTGCTTCTACATCGACTTCTCCTCTCTCTGGTGCGCGCGCCCGCGCAAGCTCGTGTTCCGCAACGCGCCCGTGCTGTGGTTCGACGGGCCGGACTCGCCCCTCCTCTTCCCAAACGACATCGTGACGGACGAGTGCGTCCTCGTCGTCAACTCGGCAGCCCTGGACGCCGAATACATCAGGTCCGAGCGTCCCTGGGAGGAACCCCTGACAGGCTTCTGTTCCGATGGCAGGGTGAGCTGGGGCTTCCAGCCCGGACCGCCGTGGCGCTGCGAACGCCTCACGATTGTCTTCTGGACGGGCTCGCCGGACGAACCCTGGTTCCCGCCCTGCACGCACTATGCGGACGAGGATCCCTGGGAGCTCGAGGAGCCCGGGGACTGCACGGCACTCGCCAGGATGTGGTTTGGCCTGGGCTCTGCCGTCCGCGCCCTGAAGATGCGCACGAGCCCGAAGGACGGGCTCAAACGCATCACCGTCGTGAATGCGGACGCGGTACGCCGGGGCCGCGGAGTCGAGGGCGAGACGCAGGAGTACTACGAGAACGACATCTCTGCCCGCTTCGAGGCTGCGTTCAAGGCGAGGGGATTCCCGGAGTGCGAGCCGCCCGAACTGGAGTGTGTCACTTTCGACGCGTGGCTTGCGGGCGGACACGCTGAGAACGTCTTCTCGCATACGGAGATTGCCCCGTTCCTCGCTGCTGGTGGCGAGGTTTGACCTCGGACACGCTTCACCAATGCCGGGATGAGTGAGCAAGGTTTGATTGCTAGATTCAGAAAGCGAGGCTGAAACTCCGAACGACGACGATGTACGCTACTGCCTGAGCAGCCTTCGGATTATAGTCCGGTTTACAGCATGCATAGGTCAATGGTCGAGTGCAGTCACAGCCAGAGAGTTAACTACGACACTGAGGAGGTCTTGTGAACACTTGAAGGACGGCATCGGTGGTCCGAGGACCTCACTTACTTGGCGTTTGCCGGAGTGGTGAGGAACGGTGCCAGTTCATGGGATGCAAAGACGTCGTCTGCATCACCGCTATCAATCCACTCTTGCATTGTGGGAAGGCGAATGGTGGGGAGCTTGGTGTTGCATTCGTCAAACCACTTAGCGTAATGGGTTCGAAGGTAGTTCTCAGGTGACAAAGGGTCTTGAGCATCGTAAGTCCATCGAGTGCGAGAAATCGTGCCAGCACAGGCCTTGATGTTCACCAATGTTATGGCTACCTTGTGTTTCACCGATATATCGAAAGACCGAATCATTTTCATCATGCCGTCTAGAACATGTTGCATGGCAGAACACCCTTCAGACGAGCTTTCGAGTTCTGAACGAGTGCGTGGACTTGCAGTGGAGTGATAACAAGGTGGGAGCCAAGGGGTGTCAGGATCTCCGGTCCAGAACACGATGACGAGCTCTCGTATGCCAGCGACCGGCCATGGACCTATTCCCCACCGCACTGTCTGCCGATCCAGGTCCAAGCCTAGACAACAGTCACTTGGGCTGCTTTCCCAGAGGCACGCGGAGTTTGCGACCAGGATGCATTGCTGTTCGGCGTACAGAGAGTTGGGAACAGATAGTTGCTCAGGAGGGACGTCATAGAACATGACTGGGGCGTTGCGAATAACGAGCTTGCGCAGATTATAGTTCTCATCGTTGACGACAACGTGATCGAAGTAGCAGCATCCGATCTTGCCATAAACGTCTTGCCCCGGAGATCCTGGTGACGCTGCAGAGAACTGTAAGGCGCGAAACTCGTCCGAGTCGGCTCGAAACACGTCTTCAGAGACCTTGTGCAGAAGATGACTTAGCTGCTCTCTTCCATCCTCATCTTCGTCGTCTGAAATGAGGCCCTCCGGATCGGGAGGTAAGAGCTCGATTGAGAGGACGAGGGCGTCACTTCGGTCGAGGCCAGCAAGATCCAGTGCCGGCCAACCGCCCCACGTGATGTGAAACAACACACAATCTGTCGGAGGATGTGGCCGTAGCTCAAGGCGCTGCATGTCGCGCAGTATTCTCGCTCCATCCGCTGGAGCGACCGGAGTGATCCCAAGCTCGGGTATCTGCAGGAAAGGTGTCGAACGCAGTGCTCCCGGGAAACGGAGACCAAGCCTCGTGAATTAGCCGTGCCGATACAGCAGACGCTCTTGCAGAAGAATACAGTTGACGCGCTGGTTAACGCAGCGCATACTTCGAAGGTCACGCCCATTCAGGTGCTTGAAAACAGTGATGAGAAGTTCATTTGGAAGGTCGGTGAGTGTGCGCTGTCCGTGGTTTCTCGCAATGGACTGGGGGACGATGTGCGGCTCAGTCGATGCGGCACACCGTGAGCCCGATCGTGATGTATCCACCGGCTGCATGCTGAAGCTGAGCAGGTACGACAAGGGGATGGATGACGGGTAGAGTGACAAGTGCGAAAAGAGAGATTGGAGAGAAAAGGAAGCAGGTGAAGTAATCCTGAAGGCGTCTGCACAGCGTCAGACTGCCCGAACACAAGGGGCGGTCGTCATGCAACATTGTTCCCGTAGGCCTTGTACGCCCCCAACTCTGGCCACTGTTCACACATTTGAACAATGATGCATGTTCGAAGTCTAGCTGTGAGGAGTGCATGAAGTGTCAGATCGCAACACTAAATGCGTAACTTCTAGTACGGGAACGGCGGACGCATGCGTCCCTATACACCGGGGACCTTGGCTTTGAAGGGCGCCAACTCCTCCGGCGTGAAAACGTCATCCGCATGACCGTCCTCGATCCACTCTTGCATGGTGCGGAAGACGGGTGGGGGATAACCGCTGATGGCTGCATTGAACATGCTCGGGAAGCGACTTCGAAGGTACGCCTCGACGAGCGACATGGAGTGAGTCTGGGGCGTGGCGAGTGACATGATTGCGTCGGTATTGACCAACGTGACCTTACAAGCGTAGCGTGGCGGAACAGAGTCGATTGTGGTCTTCATACCCTCCCAGATCTTGTCCATGGCGGAACACTTGTGGAAAAGGCTGTCTATCGCTTGGGTAGGATCACTGAAATGAGAGCAGGGCGGGACCCAACGAGCTTCTGGATCGCCCGTCCAGAAAACAATGACGATCTCGGGTGTACCACGAGGCTGTGGCCCAAGCCCAAACACACTGTGAGGCAAATCCGGTAACGGACCGACGCAGCAAGCCCTCGGCTTGTCCTTCCAAAGACCGGCTGAGTTGATAACAAGCACACATTGTTCGGCGGCGAAAAAGTAGCGAGGAAGGAGAAGAGTGCTCGGAGATTGATGGTACAGCACTGCGGGAGCGTTGCGGACAACGATCTTGTCAATCATTACGCTCGGTTCATTCACAATAAAATGGTCGATGTAGCGGCATCCTACCATGTCGGACCAGTAGGTGCCATCGTCTCTCGAGGCAGGAGGTGAATCTGAGTACTTCAAGGCTCTGTGTGTCGGCAAGTCTTTATCATTAACCTCGTCGGTGACAACGTGCAAAAGCGTACTCAAGCCGCCTTCGACTTGGCGGCCTTGGGCCTGGGGGGATGGCGCGGTGGGGTCTGGGGTAAGAAGCTCAATGCACAATACCGGCAAGCACCAGGCACCTTCGTCGTAGATTACAGCTTGTGCAGAGGTGTGTGCTGTTCCCCGGGGCCACATGAGGTCGAACATGACGCATTTGTCTGGCGAGTGCGGTCGCACCTCGAGTCGCTGTATTTCTTCAAAGACCTTCCTTCCATTGAGCGGGCTGACCGGCGTGATTCCCAGCTCTGGCAAAGCGAGAAACGGCGTAGGCTTGAGCGCACCCGGGAAGCGCAGACCGAAAGATGAGAACACTCCATGGCGGTACAGCAGTCGCTCTTGCTGCAATACATGGGCGAAGCGGCGGTTGACCCTAGAAAGAGTGCGAAGACTTCCACCATCTAGGTGCTTGAAGATGACTACCAAGAGCTCGTTGGGCAGAGGAAAGTCGGCGGCCATTGCTGATGTTGAATGGGGAGGACGGATGATCTACAGTGTTGCGCTGGGGACCGCTCGGTGATACTCCGGAAGGAGGCGAACAGACGGCGCCTGTCTTTAGGATGCCGGGTGTTGTGGAATGCAAGGGTGTCAGTCAGGAGATGGAGAGAAAAGTACTTCAGTGCAATGAACTATTGGACGCGTCTGACAAGGTGAGTCAGGTGGCAAATAATGGTTCCGTCCATGGCGATCCTCGACTGCGCCCAGTAACAAAGCGGGCAGATCCTCTGCGTCGCTGGTCCCTTCTTCTTCTGCAGTTGCTAACTCGACAGCATGACTTCATGCATCGACACACTATCGCCCCACAACGTTCAGTTCACAGAGCCTCAAGTGCCCCCCAGTCCATCCAACCGTTGTCCCCGCGCCCTCTGGGCTTTCCTCACCCTGAGCAGCAGAACAGATTCGTCTGCTCATCCGCGCGCCCGATGAGACAGTCTTGTTATTAAAAGTGACAGAACGCTGTCGCTATCAAGTCCAGTCCAGCCCGTCCACTGAATCAAACCCACGGCCGGGAACATCTGGTGGCTGGTCTAACGCCCGTCAACTACCGCACGCAGGAGTCATCCCCACGGTATCCTCGTATGGCTCGTAATCTCTTTCGTCGTTTTCATCAAGGACCCAGCTCGTGTCCTTCGCTTCCCCGTCTGAACTGTTTGTCAAGTCGTCTGACCACACGAGCCCATCGCGATGTCTGCGCAGCCCATCATCTGTGGGCCACTGTCTGCTTTCGCGGTGCGAAAACTCACCCGAAGCAGCACCGGATGATTGGCGTAGAGATACGCAATCAGCTCTACCCAGAGGGGATGTTGGGGACCTATACTTCCGGGTGGTAATGGGACTCGGGCGTTGGTCTGCGCTTAGCAGTCTCAACTAAGAAACAGCAACTTACCAGGACCATGAAGTTGCAGTGGACCTGCATGCGATCGGCGCTCGGATCCACGATCGGATCCAAGTCCTCTCGGAGCTTGGACGTGGCCACATCCGCCTGCGCGAATGTCAACCCGTGTATCCATGGGAAACACGGACAGGCGTCCATCGCCTCCTGAGTGGGGGTTGGAACGCAGAGCCTGCGCGTCAGTCATGTGCTGCAGTGGCATCATACCCGTCACCGCTGTCCCGCGCCCGCCGCAAGAGGCGTGCACCAGCCTCGAGACCCAGGGACCAGTCTCCGCGGTCACTTGTCGGAGACGGAGATCCCAGGGCATACAGGTATGCTTGGATGTCTGGCGGATGCATCTCTGGCGGAAGGTCGATGTCGAAGACGTAGTCTGCGGGTGTTGATGAGCCGGTGAAGTTGGAAGACATGTTGCTGAGTATCCCACTGTTATGATAGATGACATAGAGAATTACTACGGTGTATCGAACAGCTACATAGTCGCGGCGGCCGCGCCGCCGCGCACAGATCGCTCATTCCAACACCCACTGGTCCGAGGTGGGAGGATGGATTGAGACTTGTTGATGAGCTCCATGGCTCAGGGGGAACGCATTGAGGCAGCTCCTCCTCTCGGCTACAGTAATGCACCAGAGAAATTAGAACACCTTCGTCACTAAGGTGGGTGGCTATCGAGTCGACAGTGGCTGGCGAGTCGAGGAGAATGCGACTCGATGTGTGAAATCTGCTAGTGATCTCGAGAGCCGCGGTTCTATCCCCCAGTCCATCACCAAGACCCTGACCTCGACATCGGTGCCTCGTCGCGACTGTGCAGGTCGGTGCAGCACCGCCCATCACAGCGCCGGCTCGTAATCGTTCTCGTTGTACTCGTCGATAAGATACATGGCCTCTCCTACCCGAGGATCGCCACCATACTCGGGGGCTGACATCCACATGAGGCCGTCGCGGTACCGACGGAGACCATCGTCCGTCGGCCACCGGCCATTCGGACGGTCGAAGGCATTCAGTCGAAGCATTGCCGGGTGGTTGGCATAGAGCCACGCAATCATCTCGATCCACTGCTCGTGTCCTGCCTCGATCATACCCTCTGGAAGTGGGACTCGGGCGTTCGTCTGCTGTCAGTGAGGTCCCCTGGCTTTTGGAGCACCGCGCCTCTCCCATCTCCAAGGGCAGGTGAGAACGTAATTTACAATGGGCAAAATCAGACAGTGGTGGATGATGAGGTCGGGGTCGGGCTCGGCAACGTGGGGATTCACATCCCTGCGCAGCGTGAACGATATTTGGTCTGTCTGCGCGTAGGTGAGGCCGTACAGCCAGGGGAAGTGCGGAGCGGCTTGCATAGCGGGGGGAGACGGTGTCGGGACAAAAAACCTGCTGTCAGTGGGAGGGCCAGCCAGATGTCTCACCCTCGTCCGTTGTCCCGCACAGACCGCAGCAGACAAGCGCCGGCCTCTACTCCCAACTTCCAGCCCGTGCCTTTCGTAGACGGAGAGGCAGAACCGACGCAGTACAGGTACGCCTGCACGTCGGGTGGATGAGCATCGGGTGGTAGATCGATGTTGAACACGTAGTCTGCCGGCAAGCTCGATCCCGTGAAGTTCAGGTGAGGTTTGGTAGTATCAAGCGCTGGCCTGGAGCGGGGCGGAGGAGTGTGAGGCGAGGCGGACGCGCTTGGATCCGGTGTGTCGAGGAGAGAAGGGACACTAAGCAGCATCTTGCCCTTGTCTGCCTCGGTCATCGTAGACTTTAGGACTTGATTGAGGGATGGTATGCGTGAAGAAAGAGAGAAAAGCAAAAGAAGGCGGTGGCAAACCCTCGTGTTTACAACATGAGGGGCAAAAGCGATCTGCGAGCTCTGAGTCAGACGCACCCGCGGTAGTACCATCTTAGCAGCTGTGCTTAGGTGCCTTTGGTCTCGACCATGCAGATCTTTGCTGTACTTGCCCGAACTTGCTCAGCATAGCCCAGCCGCGCATAGCCGCCGTCATGGCACTGTTGATATACATTTAGTCAGTCTCACTGCCGGGCATACATGAGTGGGATCACTGGCATGCCACGGCAGGGCAGGGGGTCTGGACCGCCAGTACGACAAGCTCGTCGAGTAGATCAGAATGTGACCCAATCAGCGATCAGCGTGCGGTGCAGTGCACACCTTTGGCATGGGGCGGTTATCTGATCGGCCTCGGTCAACAGCTCTGACATGGGGTAACGCAGCGTGAGCAGGAGCGCTCTTGGCTGCATTGCGATCAAGCGAGGCATGTATCACGGCAATCAAAATCAATTGTGGGTGCAGCGCCTGTCCAGCATGTCCAGGCCTCTCGATCGGCGAGAACGCCCAGGGCAGGCCCACCGGTGGCGTCGTATAGGCTCCACCATCATAGCCGACAGGCAGATCACTCGTCCCAGCCTGTCCACCAGCGAATCATCGATGGGCTGAGATCGAGCTGCAAAAGATGCTTTGGCGTGGCGGTGTTGATCGACGGGCACAGCATGTTCCAGCTGACTAAAAGACGCGGGGACGACGCTTGCATACTGATAGGGCACTTGTGCATTCCTCGATCCACGGCCACTCTCTCGTCACTCTTGGATTCCTGGCTTCGCGATGAGCGGGAGCACCCCTTCCTCATGGTGAGCTTGGGATGGGGTGGCGTCGAATGCGCTGCTGGATACCTGCAAGGAGCTGGGGGGCAGTCAAGGCAAGAGATATAAGGGGTCGAGGCGGGGTGGGTAACTCTTAACCTCCTAGCCATCCAAAGCAGACGGTCGCTCCCACGCTCAGCTCGTGAACCACTCTCTATTCTCCTGTACTAGCACACAGTTATCAACAGTCAACAGCCACCAGTCATCATGGGCGACGGAAAATGTGATGGCAACAGCAAAGGACAGAACAAGAGCAGTGAGTTCCACTCTCAGCCCTGTCATGCCACGGGCAGCGGCCGTGCGTTACCCGCCCATACGATGAAGTCCCAGTTCGATGCTAAGACCACACAGAGCCCCATGTCTGGGTCAAGTCCAACGAGAATCGCAACGTTAAGATCTGCAAATACTGCGGCACCAAGGTCCGTTAGCCTGGCTACATGTCCCTCATGGAGTTACACTGTATTCGTGTCGAGGACACGTCAATTTACTGGTGTTGACAGCGCCTGAAATCGGAGATGGAGAGGAGAAGCCTGTGATTAGTGGAAGCGAAATCGAAGCAGCGAATCGCGTAGTTGAGTTAAGACGTTATATGCACCGCCGCCGAGTCTGCACATCTCGAGCACTTCTGACCTCTATCTCATCCCCTACTCTACTTCTTATCAAACGGGTTCCTGTCCGTCAGCTATCATCCCTGGAATAAAGCTTACTCAGTATACTCGAGCTCCTCATCGTCGCTGTCTCCAAGCGTGTGCGGGCTCGTCTCCCCGACGGGGCTCTTGGGGATCTTGTCGACCAGGCTCTTCCCGCTCTCGCCTGATGCGAGGGAGGTCGCGCTCGCATTCCCTGACCCAGCGCCGGTACCGGCACCAGCACCGGCACCAGCTCCGGCGGCAGGAGAGGGCGAGGCGGACATGAGGTCGACGCGTTTCTTGGGGAGGAAGCCGAGTTTCGCTGTTTGCGTCAGCTCAGGCAGCCGTGGAGTACGTGGAATGGAAGCACGTACCCATGTCAATCTTGCCCGCCTGCGCGCCCGGGCCCGTCGGAGGCGGGCTTGCGCCGTCCCTCGGACTCGCCCTGCCGCCGACATTGATCGTCGCGCCCGTGCTGAGCGGCTGGGCGTCGTGCATGTCCTCATAAGAGTCGGTGGGGGACCAGCGCGCAGGCCGTCCACTCGGCGACGTGCTGTCCGTGCGTTCCGGTCTGCCCGTCAGTTCTCTTCACGCTTGGGCAAACTCACCCCTGCTGTCCCTGCTGCCCCTGCTGTCCCTGCTGCTGTCCGGTGCCCCACAGCGCATTCAACCGCGCACTCGCTCCTGCG